AAAAGTTCTCTAGATTGTCCATTCTAGCACAGCTAGGGGTTGTCGCTCCCCCTGAAGATAACAATCTTCTAAGCCTATGCATCCCAATTTTATAAACATATTATTCAAAAGTGGATGTAGGCAAAGACTTAGTGAACATATCTACAAGATTGTTTAGTGGGGCAAACATTCTCAACAAGAATTTTACAACTCTTCTGGAGTTCATGTGTGTAGAAGGACTTAGGTGCAACATGTTTTGTAAGGTTCCCCTTAACAAAACTATTACTTGCTTGTGCAACACAATCTTATTTGTCCTCATATGGGACATTGGGGGAAAAATATAACATAACCAGTTTTGGACTTAGCATCATAGGGATCAAATAAAAGAGCTAGTGCCCAAATAGCCCATCAAAACCACATATTGGTTTCTTACATAAACGTCAAAATATTTGTACCTCGAAGGTGCTGGAGGATATGTTAAATACCATTCCAACTTTCATTGTAGGGGGAAACATTAAATGTTGCTAGCAATTTCATCGCAAATTCAATATCAGGCCTGATGCGATTATGGAACTTCTAGTTCAGTAATAGTGCTCCAATAGGAATGAAGTAATAGACTTCTAGTCCTAAAATATCCTCATTATCATCTTCGAGTCTAAATGGTCTTTTATCTACTTCAAGAGATTATTGGACAACCATTGGTGTGATAAGTAAATAATACTTATCCATATAAAACATCTTCAAGATATTTTTCAAGTAGGCTAACTGGTGTATAAAACTTCTTCAAGGAGAAGCTCGATCTTCAGGTCGAGACAATACTTGGGTTTCCCAAGTCTTTTATTTCAAAACTCCGTCTTTTGGCATGAGCTAATATCACCAAGCTCTCTTTATGTTTCAATAACATTTAAACCATCAATATTGACTGAGCAGATAAATAAATAACTCCATTAGCAATTCGTTAACGAACACATAATGGTACATATTATTTGCATATTCCTTCTTCAGGAGGAAAACACTCAGTCAATAATATTCAAGTCATACAAAGATTTGGCAATTTAATGCTACACGTCGCGATTTTCACTTTCTTTATTTCAAAAGTGTTCAATCCATCAGGGATTTACAAATAAATATTAGCGTCTAATGACCCATAAGTTTGTTGGTCATGACGTTCATCAACTGCATATCTAAATTTATAATTCACTGCCAATAATGTTAATTTGCGGAACGTAATGCCATATGTTGTGGGAGAGAATATTTGATCAAAATTAATTCAGGGTCTCTGCGTAAACCCTTAAGCTACCAGTCTCGCTTTATATTATACCATCATATTGTTTGTATTTCTCTTTCGTACAAACACCCATTTGTAACCTACATGGTTAACATTAAATGGTGTACGTGTTATAAAGAGAATACAGTTTTAGCGAGCTGAGCTGTACATGCCTTAATTGCTCCGTTATACATAAAAAATACCAAGGCACAGCTGGTGCCTAGATCTGGATCCAGATTATCATATAACGAGAACAATTTGTAAAGGCAATTCTGTTGTCGACAACTATAACATTTTTCATAAATCTCTCCCATATATATAAAATAATGACAATTTCTAATTCAACCAGACTCTAGCCATTTCCCAAAGATATTTTTATCTGGTCGTTCCGCATCCCCAATATTATGATTTTGGGTGCACCTATAATTTTACTGGGGTTTTTCGCCTTCCGGACGAATGTCTTCTGGACGAATATCTGCAGGACATACTTCTTTGAGCGATTTCAAGAGTGACGAAATTTTCTACTAGCTTTAGTTTTCCGCGGATTCTTGTCTTTTATACCAACATGTCTCCACGCTTCTGGCATCAAGGAGCATTGGTAAATACATACCGTCCAAGTTCGGGAAGATACATGAGACCTAGTCACTCTTTTTATCAGTATATATATTGGCAGATTAATTATCTTCTGAACTTCCAGTTCAGTTTACTTCTTATGAACTTCTAGTTCAGTCTACCTAGTACGTGGATTCAAAATATTGAAGATCAATCATTCATAGAATTTCTCGGCATTCTATAAAATTTGAGCTCTTATCTCCCCCTAATGCCGTGAAATGATCTTCATAAAGTGTGCAGTCAGCGTACATAATTATATATTGATCCCTTATCATGGGCTCTAAAGATTTAAATAACAGACGGCGGTTTATAATCAACATATACATGCCCACAATGTACGCTATGATGGTGATATAGGAAAAAGACTGCACATTGTGAATAAAACGCAGATGGGAAATGTTTGATTTTATACCACGTACTAGGCGTTAGGGGGAATACTTATGATATGCAGCAGGCCAGATTGTGATAACAACAATAATATATAAAACTGATGTCCCCAACAAGAAAATATATAATTTCCCAAGGCGATGCACTAACTCATGCTTACTATAAAATCATGTGGGTCTATAAAGCTTTTAAAAGTGCATCGCAATATATGAAGTTCCCAAAACATATATGCAATCATCTAAGAGAAACATATATAATCAGATATGAAAGCATACATATCAAATGATATTATAAGGGTACACAACAATCATAAGGAAGCTGTGAAGCTTGTAAAATAAAATAGATCTTCAAGATCTCCCAAAAAATCCTTATTCTCAACTTTACATTAGTTCACTCGCTGGTTTGGGAATTGCTTTGTCCAAATTCACATGATATAATTCACTCCCTCATTTGCTTCGAGCAAACTGATATGAAATGATTTATTCCTTCGTTTGCTTCGGGCAAACTGATATGATATCATTTTCTCCTATCTTTCAAATTAATAACATATAAATCAATCATATCATGTAAGGCATAAGTCAAATATCATTCTTATAAAGGGGTATAGTATACTACCCCTTAAATAACACAGAATTGCACTAAGCCATACTCCACTACAAGAAAAATGCACATAGACAACACTAGAAAGACAACAGTTTTTAAGAAAAGTGTTGTCTTTTGTATAAAAGACAACAGTTTGGTCCAAAACCGTTGTCTTTGATGCAACCCTTTTTTCAAAGACAACGGTTTTTACTTAACCGTTGTTATAAGTGTGTTGTCTTTGTGCATTTTGTGAAAAGACAACACCACAACGACAACGGTTTTTTAAAACTGTTGTCTATGTGCGTTTTTTTTTTTTTTTTAAAAAGACAACGGTTTTTTTAACCGTTGTCATTGGTGTGTTGTCTTTAAGCGCATTAGAATACACAACAGTAGAAAGACAACGGTTATTTAAAACCGTTGTCTTTGTGCGCTCTTTTTTTAAAAAAGACAACGGTTTTATTTAACCGTTGTCATTGGTGTGTTGTCTTTAAGCGCACTAGAATACACAACACTACAAAGACAACGGTTTTTTAAAACCGTTGTCTTTGCGCATTATTATTTTTTAAAAGACAACGGTTTTATTTAACCGTTGTCATTTATGTGTTGTCTTTAATAGCACTTGAATACACAACACTACAACGACAATGGTTTTATATAACCGTTGTCGTTGCACGTTCTTTATTTGTTTAAGACAACGGTTTTATTTAACCGTTGTCTTTGATATGTTGTCTTTAAGCGTATTTGAATACACAACATTACAAAGACAACGGTTATAAAAACCGTTGTCTTTGCGCATCGTTATTTAACAGTTGTATAAATTAAAATAAAAACAAGGATGTTAATAACAAGAGTCGAACCTTTGACCTCAAAATTAACAAATAAGGTCTAACCAACTAAGTAACACAAACTCTTATGATTAAATGTGCAACATTTGGTATATAACTGGGTTGCTTCTGTGTTGTTTGTGAAAACCAAAACAACAATTTTAGAAAATAGTTGAAGGATCCCCTAGGAAGAAAAGAACTCAAGACCTCTAACATAATAAACTAAACTAAACCCACCAAGCCACACCAACACTTATATACTCAAGTGCAACATCTATGATATAACCAAATTGCTTATGTGTTGTCTTTAAGAACCAAGACAATGATTGTATAAAATAGATTAAGGATGCCACCACAAAGGATAAAACCCAAGACCTTTAACATAACAAACAAAATTAAATCCACCAAACCACACTAACTCTTATATACTAAATTGTTACACCTTATGTTTTAGCTATTATATCCTGAGTGTTAACAAGAATAAAAATGTAATTAAAATTTTTTGTCCAAATATATTGCATAAAAATTTAACAAAGAAAGAATATAATTCAAAAGTTAATTTAATAATTATATTTTCGTTCATATTTAAATATAAAATTATTCACCAAAATTTCAAAGTCAATTCATTAAAGTTTTATTTTCAATTATATTACAATTAAGACCAATCTATGAATTCAAAAAAAAAAATAAAAAAAATATCAAGTATAAAAAACAATAGATTATATCTATAACATTTTTGATATTTGTTATAGACCTAACTTTTTTAGGCTCTTATTAGTATAGTAGATAGTAGGTATAAAAATATATATCTTCTTCTTCTTCATATATATATATATATATATATATATATATATATATATATATATATATATATATATATATATATCTTCATTCTTTTTAACTTTTTTTTTTTGTTTCCCTCCCAAACAAAAAAAAAAAAAAGAAATTCACACGCCTACAATTAGCGGAAAAAATTCCCTCCCAAACAATTTCTCCCTAACACTCCATTGCAACTTTTCCATCTCCTTAGTCAGTGCTTTCTACCGAGAGTGTCCTCTCGTCGCCTCCAACCTCCGACGCCGTTGCTGCCGCCAACCTCTGCCGCCATCGCCGCCTCCCTCCTCTACAGCCGTGAATAAGTCAGTAAACTTGGTTTTGAAAAATTGAAGGTTAGCTTTTCTCTTGTAATGTAATAAGCTATGAAATTCATCCAAATATTATCCATTTTCGCCCTCTCCTTTCTGCGGCTCAGTCTTCCCTTAGCATCTCTCTTGATTCTTCTCTAATCTCACCCAAAAACCTTCTACTCTCATTTAAACAAAATCTCAGATCTTTAATTTCTTGCTCAGCCTTTAATCTCTGAGGATGGAGTCCCCAAAGCACGCGGTCACGTTCTAGGCGGAAGCAGCGCCATAAACGTCGGTTTCTATAGCAAAGCCGATGATGTTTCGGCCGGAGCTCAAGAGTGGACAATCAGCGGTGAGAGATTGTTTGCTGGAATGGATTCGGTCAGAGGTTTCTCTCTATTTTTATTTCTCAGTTCAAAGTTTCATGCTCAGATATATTGTTGTTGTGGGAGTCTACGCTCATATCTGCTGCTGTTGTGGGAGTACGCTCACATCTACTCCTTTTATTATATCTACAACGGAACTAGCGACGGAGGGATAGAGGAGGTGGCGGCGGAGTTGGAAATCGGCCGGTTTGTGCCCATATTTCTTCATCACTCCACCCTGCCACTCACAATCGACGAAGTAAGCTTAAAACTATCATCTTTTTTTGCTTTTGTTGCTCTTGTAAAATTTTTTAAAGTAACTTTTGGTGGATTTTGTGAATTTATGCATATTCTTTCAAATAAAATCATTTAGTGATTTTAGTTTTTTACCTCTGTAATTCGATGGTAAGGCTGGTTAAGCTAAGATTATGTGTTTGGGAACATGGTGAAAATGATGGATTATCCAGAATCTTGAACCAATCAGGATAGAGTTGGCCAAACACTTACAAAAATTTTAATAAATTAGTAAATTACAGCTGTGTGTTTGCAAAATTGCTGGGAGAAAGGTATGCAGTTGTATGTATCTGTTTTGTATTTCTGTAACCTGGTGAATTAAACATATGGAATGCTAAAAATGTGTAAATTCATTGATAAATATGTTGATATTGTGTCAATACTCGAACTAATTAGTAGATAGAGCTTCTTCACACCACCTTTGGCATGGTTCTATGGATGTTTGCATAACTGAATTCCTTTTATCTACTGCTCGGTTCCTTTTCCAACAGGTTTTTCTCCCTTCAGTTGGACTGAATACCACCTTTCTCTCTTTGTAACTATTATAATGACATCTTAATTCCTGTTCCCTGTGATTCTAGATTGTAAGTGCTCACCAAAGTTCATTTGAAGATGACAAGTACAGTGAAATCAAGTATCTCTTTCCTTGTAATTCATGGAAGATGATTACGGTATGTCGGTATCCATTCTTATAGAATTCTATGTTAACGGCAATATTGTGATTTTGACTATTGTTATTCTAGTGAAAAACATAAACTTATTTATCAAACTCTTGATTTATAACCACAATATCCTTAGCAATTATCCACTTATAACTCCAACATGCTTCTTCTATGTTTCAGGAAAATGATGTGACGGTCATGATTTCCCTCCTTAAGTCCTCGAAACATGAACATTTTAAAAAATTGATCAGTCCCTTAATTAAGCCATTGCTGCGTTTCCTTTATCTCCCTTGTTCATCAAGTGGTAAATACATTTTTTTTGGTCAGGCTTAATTTAAAATCTTCAATTGATAATACGTTCTTTTTAGTGGTCATGGTTGGTGCTTCATTTCATTAGAACTAATGTTCTTTCTTTTATTTGCTCTCTATATTGTAGATTTTATGCGAAATCTAGGATCTGCGTGGTTATTGATTGGTGGCTTATGCTACCATCTTTTGATTAGCTACACATATTTGGAACCCACTGTAAAATACTCTGTAAAGCACTCACAGCTGACAGAAAAAAATTGCTTGTCTCCAGCTTGAGAATGAGGTATTTTTATATTTAGTTTTTTAAACCACTTCAACTTGAATTACTACTTTTCAGCCTCGGGTTTTGCCATTTCACTCCATGGGGAGAAACTTGTAAATTTTAAAATTTTGAGTATTATGTTATATGCATAAATGCATAAATTACCCTTTGAGATGATTGAACAAAAAATATTTAATTAATTAAGTTCACTAAAAGTGGATCATTTAGTGTTTGTTTGGCTCAAGTTATTGCGACAAACAAATGTTTACTAGATATCAATCTTATTGGGACAGTCCAAAGTGGAAAGTTTTGTGAGCAATACTTAGTCTAAAACTGTGACAAGCTCTCATGCCCAAGCTTGATGTGAAAATTCTATTCATGATCTTACAGGTAAGAAGAGAGTGTACTTATTTATCAGGGTCCTTTCAGTTAAGAGAAGATGACAGACATACCAAGGTGTTAGAAGAACTCAATACCAAGCTGAAGAAACTTCAAAAACATGTAAGGAGAGTTTTATTATCCATATGTTTTTAATGTTGTTGATTCACTTGATTGTTAACATGCTTTGCATTTATTACCAATGTCATCTCTAGTCTTAGCAATTACTAGTTATATGTTTATATATATATATATATATATATATATATATATATATATATATATATATATATATACATATATATATAAGCACACATGAATTCTGATAACTCGGGTATTATGCCAGGACAGAAAAACATTCACTATTGTGCTTGAATGCCAAGAGGAGTAAGTAGCTAGTGAAAAGGGGGAAGCTTTAAGGTATAAATACTAGTGAACTTTGCAAACTCTTGTATTAAAAGTTAAATTTCTAACTTATGTAATTATTCTTTGCAAACTCTTGTAACTCTTGTATTAAAACTTTACAAAAACATTCACTATTGTGCTTTAAATACAAGCTTAAGTTCAAAATGGAGAAGGAAACCTCCATGACAAGTCTCTTGTTACAAAGGACAACACAAGTAAGTTGTGTTATTCAGTTTTTGCTTTCTTATCAATCTATCTTCTGGCTTTGCACCTTTACTGCCTCATTTGTATAGAAACTCATTTTATCACTTAGGAGGCACAACATCTTTAGCTTGCATCTTTGTGATTTGTATGGAATCAAAATTGCCAGGTCTTGCGTTAGCCACAGTTCCTATTATAGTCAGATTGTCATCTAAACAAGCCAGCTCATCAACTACTCATATGGATATTATCACCCGGATATCAATTCTTGTTAACTGTTCTCCTTGTGCTCCAGGAGTTGTGTATGGATATTATCACCCGGATATCAATACATGTAGTTCTAACAAGTTGATTATGACAAAGCGGTTATTGATCTGGTGCGTTCAGAATGGGCCGATATTCTATCATCATGTTATATAGAGTAGGTATGATTTGACGTTGTGATCATTTAGACTTGGTTTGTGGATCAGAATTGTTTTTTGTAGTATTATGACTTGGATGATGATTTGATTATAATTGGTCATGCTCAGTATTTAGACTTGTTATTATGAACCTTGTTTAGCTTGTGCAATGTAACTACACTTGGCCATGGTGAATGGATAAATTGTTTTTTTTTTATATGATTAAAATTTAAGCAGGTTAAAAACGGGTTGAGACAACGGTTAAAAGTTGTCTATTTTACAATAGACAACAGTTTGAAACTGTTATCTTTTTTACAAAAGACAACAGTTTGAAACTTTTGTCTTTTCTACAAAAGACAACAGTTAAAAACCGTTGTCTATGTGCATCACTTTTAACAACACCGGTTTCAACAACATTGAATTGACAACGGGTCAAAAATCGTTGTCTTTGGAAGAAACGACAACGGTTTAAAACCGTTGTCTATGTTCGTGACTTTTAACAACACCGGTTTCAACAACACTTAATAGACAACGGTTAAAAAACCGTTGTCGTTTCTAGAAAAGACAACGGTTATTAACCGTTGTCTATGTGCGTGACTTTTAACAACACCGGTTTCAACAACACTTAATAGACAACAGTTAAAAAACCGTTGTCGTTTCTAGAAAAGACAACGGTTATTAACCGTTGTCTATGTGCGTGACTTACAACAACACCATCTTCAACAACACTTAATAGACAACGGTTAAAAAACCGTTGTTGTTTCTAGAAAAGACAACGGTTATTAACCGTTGTCTATGTGCGTGACATACAACAACACCGACTTCGACAACACTTAATAGACAACGGTTAAAAAACCGTTGTTGTTTCTAGAAAAGACAACGGTTATTAACCGTTGTCTATGTGCGTGACTTACAACAACACCGGCTTCTACAACACTTAATAGACAACGGTTAAAAAACCGTTGTTGTTTCTAGAAAAGACAACGGTTAAAAAACCGTTGTCTATGCGCGGGACTTACAACAACACCGGCTTCAACAACAGAAATTATACCCCTACGACAACGGTTATTAACCGTTGTCTATGTACATTTTTCTTGTAGTGCTCGGAGAGGGATTCGACATTTTGACATCTTAAATTTAGTCAAAAGATTATTATCATAATTTATTGACAATAGCAATCCTTCTAGGATTGATAATAATTCAATTTTGAATTAGCAACCAGTCAATTTCATACGAGAATCATGTTGCATGAATGAGAAAAAAATTTTCATGAGTAAGCATGCAAACTAAGAGGAGTAACTCCGAGAAGTAAACTTCCTCCGAAAAATAAAGTTCCAGAAAGTATAAAACATTCGAAAAGTAAAATTCAAGAAGTAAGATTAGAAAGTTAAGCTTATAGAAGTAAACTTTCTGAATAGTCACTTCGAGTAGTAAAATTAGCAGGGAAAAAGTGAAAAACAGCAAAGTAAAATCACTTTGCATTCATAATAATTTGCGTCCAAAAATAACTTAACTTTTCGAATATTGCGGTCATGAATTAACTTTTCGGATGCTTCAGGCATAAACTAACTTCTCGGATGCTTCAAGCATAAGCTAACTTCTCGGATGCTTGAAGCATGAGCTAACTACTCGGATACTTCATGCTTCAGGCATGAACTAACTCTTTTTTTTTTTTTTGCCATGAATATATTTTCATGCATTGTTCAAAATATTATCATGACACCAATCATTTCTTCATCAATACCTCGTCATTTCATTATCAGCATTTATCACAATATTTGCTTCAGGCAAATTAGCTAGAATCATCAAGATGAGGTTCATTCTCCAATGACCAAATGCTTTGGTGCGCGGCACGTAGGGATCAATGCCCTTCACACCCACATTGATATCAAACCTGCTTCTGGCTAGAATTTTGCCTCGATGAGTTTTGGTCGTCCTTGAATATCTTGATCACTTTGTTTCTTATTCTGAGCTCGAAACTCATACCACACCGGTTATAATCTCGACTGCAACCCCTTATAAAGTTACTCAACTAGGTAACATTATGTGCTTCAGGCACCTGTGCAAAATCAACCAGACATGCGTTTTGATTCTTCATCAACAACTAGTTATGTTTCTTAGCCACAAGAAGTGTTAAAATCAGCTTAGGATGCTTCTCATAATTTGTTGTCTTGTACTACTGCTGGAGTACAAATTACTCACACGAAAAGTTGGCAATGTCTTTTCAATTAAATATTTATCTAAAACTTCTTGTTTAGAGTTTCACTTCTGAGACTATTTTGTGCAGAGCTGAATTATAGTCAGTTACTGACTTATAATCTTAAAACTTAAGATTAATCTAGTCAAATTGTGTCTGAGGAACGACAATAGATGACTACTAGTCAAAATGGTCCTTCAGTGACTTACATAATGCAATAGGGACTTTTTCAATCAAATACTCATTTTTAATATCGTGGTTCAAGTAGTGACATATGAAAATGAGAGCTTGTGCCTTCTGGGCATCGGTTCTCTGTGACTTAGCAACAAAAGTTTGGCTCGATTTCTTAGATGTCAAATATATTCCAATATCCAAAGCCTAAGTGAAATAATTGCTATCGACATGAGCGAGCTCAATAAATTCACATTTCCAATGAAAGACATAATCTACAAGATCATCATTTGATGCAACTTTAGGAAGCAATGTGACAACTTGTGAAAAAAAACCACTATTTTGAATACATGTTCAAGCAATGGATGAAGAAACACCTTTTACATAAATATGCATATCCGTTTCTTAGCATTCTAATACAAACACAACAATCCAATGCAAACATAATAAGGACCGATTATGCATTCGATCTCCATAATCATAGAACATACATGGATACATATACATACAATTTAGCATATAACCAAAATGTATTTACCATTTCTATGCATCATGGTTCATATAGAGCCTATCTCATATACATGAATTGAGAGAATAAATAAAGATAATATGTATTTACCCAAATTCTTAACCATGTCTTGATGAGGGGTTCATCACTCAAAAGTTGTTAACAAACATGAAGAATTATCACCCATTTCATAGAAACAATAATTGAAGGTTCCAAACCAAACTCATAGCCACATATACACAAAAACAAAAATGGTGCAACACGAATCGGTGAGACAAACACCAAATTGATGCAGCAAGCATCGACTCGTGTTTATAGCGTCAACTCGTGCTACAAGCAACAAGACACGAATTGTTGCGGCAAACACCGAATTGATGCAGCAAGCATCGACTCGTGTTTATAGCATCAACTCGTGCTACAGGCAACGAGTGGTACGGTGCTTCACTCTCCAATACACCTAATTGATGCTCCCAAGTCATCAATTAAGCTTTAAAGTCTTACTCACTCTTAACTTCCACAAAATAAACTTTAACAATCTTAATTAAAAACCATACATTCATTGCCTAATCAGGCATAAAAACGAATTGCTAATCACATGCAAACGACATATCATAAAAACATAATAATGCACTACAGCATATGGTATATAACATACAAAGTATGCGAAATGAAAATAATATGTATACATATATTGCATCTTCATACGAAAAGCCACTTCTATTTACACAAACATATATATCACATGCTCTTCTTTCAATTTGAAGAATCAAAAATAAAATTGGAAATATATATTCAGGAATTTACACAATCATATATATACGAACTAGTATGTGCAATTCATATTTCAAATTGTAGAATCAATATGTATCATATCAATCATGCATTTCATAATCATATCAAGAGGTGTAGAATCAACATGTGCCATATAAAAACATGTATTATATGAAACCTATGAACATACTTGCCTAGTATAAAAACATGTATTATAACATGTCCGAGCATACCGTTCACCAAGGAATATGTTGGCGAGTCGTGCTAATAACGTGTTGTAATTTGGCCTATCAACTTGTTAGTTCTCGCGTGATGATTACATGGTAATTGCCCGGAGATTATATATAAGATTATAAAGTGTAGAGATGTAAGAAGAGAAGAATGACACAAGATGTAGAGCACAAACATGAGCACTTTATTTCATTATGCCTTCACATGTATTTATACTAATCCATACAACCCTTCATATGCTTAACATAAACAATATATTAAGTAGAAGGAAAATGGAGAGTCTCAAGATTAATGGCCACTAATAAAATATTTATAACAAAAACCATACAGAGAATAAGGAGAGAAAATGGAGGCTAGATCAGAAGAACTGAAAAATAGGAACTCAAGAAGCCCTTTTTCATTAATCATTGCATCATACATATATATATATATATATATATACATATATATATATATATATATATATATATATATATATATATATATATATATAGATTTTGGTTCCTGTGAGGTCATGCCTTCCCGTGCGGTCAGTGTGGCATACACCATTAGATATGTATAAATACACCATACAATGTTCAAAAATACACCAGAATGAAATGTCAAAAAATACACCACACAAAAAATACACCACACATAATGGTGTATTTACGAACACTGTGTGGTGCATTTTTGCATACCTAATGGTGTATACCGCACTGACCGCACGGGAAGACCTGACCTCACAGGAACCTGACCATATATATATATATATATATATATATATATATATATATATATATATATATATATATATATATATATATATATATATATATAAAGAATAACCATTGCAGTTAATAATATCATACATGGGGAAGATCATGGGATAGTGGGGATAATGGCCATAAGATGTGAATATTTATAATACTCTCCTTGCCCATTATTATCACACTCATGCCTCGTTAAAAACCTCATTAGAAAAATTTTGTGGGTAAAAAAAAAAAATTTACTCTAGGGAAAAAGAGTACATGACATACATATGTTAAATTATATGTTGCTTCGGTTGCCTCATTAAAAACCTTAAACTAAGAAAACTCAGTGAAAAACAACTTAGCTAAGGAAAAAAGAGTACAACCATAACCCCAACATAAACCTTCAAGTGGTATTATATTCATGATTGATTCAACTTATTCAAGTAAAATGATACTCCCCTAAAGATGACAATATTTAAATCCTTCATATAAAATAGGGATAAAGTACAAATAAGCCACTATACTATTTGGGAAAAAGTAATTAAGCCATCGAACTTAAATAACCCCCAAATAAGTCATTGAACCCGGAAATAAAAGAGCAATTATCATTTTTAACAAGTTAACTCCAGATTTTTGCTGATTGGATTGCCAAATGTTTATTTTATTTACGTTTTTTTTATTATTATAATCCACCTACATAGTAAAATATTTTAAAGTAATTATAATCAAAGTAGTTTTGTTTTGTCTAGATCTAATTTATTTATTTATTATTATTTTTTAAACAAAAGATCCAGTGAAAAAATAATAATAATAAATAAATCAAAACTATTTTGATTATAATTACTTTAAAATATAATATTATCCAAGTGGATAATATTATTAAAAATAATAATAATAAACGTAAATAAAATAAACATTTGGCAATCCAATTAGCAAAAACCTGGAGTTAACCTATAAAAAATATTAATTGCTCTTTTTTTTAGGGTTCAATGGCTTATTTGCTCTTTTTTCCGGGTTCAATGGCTTATTTGAGGGCTATTTGAGTTCGATGGCTTAATTGCTGTTTTTCAAATGGTTCAGTGGATTATTTGTACTTTATCCCTATAAAATATATTTCCAAAATGTAGAAGGAATTTTGTGAACACATATGCTCAACTGCCAATGAAATGAATATGTTGTATAATAATCTTGTGACTCTTATGGAGCTCACGTGGGTATAATATTGACATCATAATTACTAGTCAAAATTTTTCATAATATACCCACTTATCATTAGTGCAACGCAATCTTTATTGTCCCCTTATAGGATAATGGGAGTAAATTATAGTACAATCAGTTTTTGGACTTGGTATTATGGGGATACAATAATAATAGCCAGTACCCAAGTAGCCCATTATATGTTGGCTTGTCTAAGTAGCCATGACCATATATTGCAATCGTTATGCGTTGGACCCGTGTCTAGCATGCATGCTGGACACGGGTAACAGTGTCGTAAGGCACTGTTATCTCCTTTTTTTTTTTAATTTCAGATCGCTTCGTTATAGGAGTATATGTTCATAATACTATATGTTAATAACTGTACATTCATAACTGCATAACTGTACGTTCATAACTCTATAACTGTACATTCATAACTCCATAACTGTACATTCATAACTCCATAATTGTACATTCATAATTTTTGAAGCTCTATGTTCACAATTTTAGAGCTCTATGTTCATAATTTTATCACTATATGTTCATAATTGTAAGTTCATATTGTCAGAGCTCTTTGTTCATAATTCGATCAATAACTGTACATTCATAATTCCATAACTGTAGATTCATAATCTCATAACTGTAGATTCATAACTCCATAACTGTAGATTCATAACTCTATAATTGTACATTCATAACTCCATAACTGTACATTCATAATCTTCGATGCTCTATATTCACAATTTCAAAGCTCCATGGTCATAATTTTATCACTATATGTTCATAATTGTAAGTTCATTAGAGCTCTGTGTTCATAATTTCATAATTGCATAACTGTACATTCATAACGGCATAACTGTACATTCATAATCCAAAAAAAAAATATAACGCCGTTAACGGCAAAACGCGCGCGGATTTTTCTTTTTTAACTAAATGACGCGTTTTTTTTGAAAAACGACGTCGTTTTGGGCCCGTGTCCACATTTCATTGTGGACACGGGTCCAGGGCATAATTTGCCATATATTGGCTAAGTAGTATATAAATTTATTTTAAAGAAATACTCGATCTTCAAGTCGAGATAATGCTTGGCTTTTCCAAGCTTTTAATTTCAAAAAAAAATTTAAAAAAAAAAAAAACTATGTCTTTAGAGATTAGACATGAGCTAACATTATCAAGTTTTTTATGTATTTCATTGATGATTATACAATCAATATTGACTGATATGATAAACAAATTAAATATCTTCATTAGTAACTCTTTATTTAGCCCATGATGGTACATATTATTCCTTCATCATGAGGTTAATAACTCTATTTGTGACTCTTTAAAGGGTACATAATGACCCATATTATATACATATTCCTTCTTCTGGAAGAAAATTACTTAGTCAATCATCAATTGTTTCAGGTCATATAAATGCCTTAGTATTTTTCATGTTGTGATTCTCACTTTCTCTTATTTTGAGAAATTCTAAATCCATCATGGATTTTTCGAATATATTGTCCAATGACCCATCAGTATGTGATCATAACGTATATCATATGATGTCCAATGACCTATAAGTATGCGGTCATGACTTTTATTATTAACTGCATATTATTCACTACCAATGATATTAATTAATCAGCAAAACTTATTGTCATACATTATGGGAGAATATATCATATTAAAATCAATTCTGGGTATCTGTGTAAACCCATGAGCTCCAAGCTTCGCTTTATATCATATCATTATTCTCTTTCGTACCAACTCCTATTCAATTGTGTGTACACATAATATAGAGAATACAATAGCGAGTTGAGCTATGTCTTAATTGCTCCTTTATATATCAAATAATCAGGGCACTTCTTGTGCCTAGTTCTGGATCCAGATTGAGCAATTATAAAGGCAAATGTGTTATCGACAACATTTTTCATAAATTTCTCTCATATTCATGGCAATTTCAAAAGCAACAAAATTATAGTCATTTCCTAGAAATATTCATATTTGGTCGTTTCGCATCCCAGTATTATAATTATTTGGTGCACCACTGGTATTTCGTCTCCTGGACGAATGTCTTCGAGACATAATTAATCGATAGATATATATTTGGCAGATATTAATAATCTACTGCACCTTCAGTTCAGTCAATCTAGTATGTGGATCAAATGATCCCCATCTCATATATCCCCCAATACTAGAAAATGATATTCACAATTTATGCCGTCAGCGTATCAAATGATCCCCATTTCATAGGCTCCAGGTATTTTTATAACAGACGAAGGTTTAGAACTAATCATGTATACCTACTTTTATTTGATAGCCTATAGAGATATGCAATAATCGTGTTATAATAAAATAGGTTGCATATTAATAAAACACAGATTTAGAAAATATTTAATTTTACACCACGTACTAGATGTAAAGGGAAATATTTATGATATTCTGTGTATCAAATTTCGATAAAAACAGTAATATATCAAATTTGATCTCCCCAATATACAATAGATAATTTGGAAATTTTCATTTACAGTTGCTTCATAAAATAGTCATGTGAATATGGAGACTACTGTTTGACAGTTATATTATTTCAAATCTGACTCATCATATTTAGCCCAATTCTCAACATTTCATAGTGTTCTAGCGCAAATAATTAATTAATTAATTATTTATTTATTTATTTTTACTAATAATTTAGGAATAAAAATCCATTTTGCATCTTCAACAAAGCTCATTTAATGAGACTTTTATAAGTTATTTATATAGTGTAGCAAACTTTTTTGTTCAAATCCAAATCAGCTAGCAAAATTAGAAATAACTGAAATAGAAGGGAAAAGGAAATCACCCAAATGAATAGCACATGACCCTAACCACTAACAATAGTGTTCCACTCCCGCGTGTAATATTTTCACTTCAAGTGTCATAAAGTCACATTTCACAAACATTCAACAAAAATTGAATTCCAGTTTTTTTGAATGCATTAACTATGTTGAACGTCTAAATTTAACTTAGAGGAAAATGCTGATATACATATAACATATGCAAGCATTTGGTCCGGTATTTGGTTTGGTTCGATTTTTTACTGAACATTTCGGTTCGATTCGATTTTTTACCGAACCGTTCAATATAAAAGAACTCATTACCGTTTGGTTGTTCGGTATATTACCAAATTGAACTAGTTTGATTCGGTCTAGTTCGATTCAGAAAAATCGAATCGAATTGTCCACCCCTACGTTCCATCCACGTTTTCTATGATTCATCAGTAGTATCAAGTACTTATTACAATAAAACTGTTAGCAACTTTTAAAAATTTTAGTGTAATTTATACTTCACACTAAAAAAAAATTCAAGATGTGAACAACAATGTTAATTATTTAGAAGTCGTAAGGGAGAAGTTTGTTGTAACTAACGTTGGCTTCAACAATATAATATTCTTCTCCCTTTTGTCAATTATATGCTTTATCCTGTATATGTTGTTTTGTCCAATGATTATTGGTTCGGTTGTTTACTTGTTTTGCATGCTTTGGATGCCTAGTTTAACAATGTAAACAGATATGATAGTACAGTGTAATATTATTAAAAATAAAATGTACTTTTAATTTTTATTCACCATGTGGGACATGTGCCACAAGCTAAGTCAAACAATGAAAAAAAAAAAAAGAATCTCATATTCAAATGCTTATCATAACAAATATTATATGCATTTTTTTTTTTTTTGTCATCTTCTTTCTAGCTCTATAAAATACGCTGCAACAACAATATAATAAAAATGGTGACATATTTGCTTGTTTGGCAATTCGCAATCAGCGGCAAGCAGATTAATTAGCAGTTTGTGTTAAACTGTTAATAATTTTAACTGGTGGTTTGTAAAATAGATGTTTGATGAAATAAATTGTTTATTATTATGATTAACATGTAAAAAAAAAAAAAAAAAAAAAAAAAAAAAACTATAAAGACATTTGTATAGTATAATAATAATAATAATAATAATAATAATAATAATAATAATAATAATAATAATAATAATAATAATAATAATAATAATAATAATAAGGGAAAATGGCACTTTTTCCCCCTGTGTTATATACTTATAGCACTTTTTCCCCCTATATTATTTAAGTGGCAATTTTCCCCCCTGATATATTAAATGGACATATTTACCCTTAAAATAAATATTTCCTTTATTTTACTTCTCCAACAAATTATAACCACAATTTGAAAAAATAAAATACATTAATTGTTGAATTTAGAATACTTTAAAAATAAAAAAATAAAATTTTAAAATAATGTTTGAACCAACAGTTCAAATTGGATCCGAAATTGTGAAACAACGATTCAAAATAAAAACCAAATCGCGATTATATATACTTATATGTGAGAGTCAATATAAATGCGAAAAAAACATACACTATTTGCAAATATTATAATTCTAATTTTAAGCTATTGCTAGTAGTTGTTCCGATTTGAACCTCTGGTTCACGGTTCAGAATCTATTTTTTTCCACTTCACAATTTTAATAAACGGAAACCCAAATATTGGGTTATGTTATGAATCATAACCGAAATTTTTTTTTATTTGATTGCTATAGTGTTCGGTTCAGTTCGAACCGAACCGTGGCCATCCCTACGTATAAACAATAATTTGTTGAACAAGAGAAATAAATAAAATATGTATTTAAGGGTAAAAATGTCTATTTAATATTATCAGGGGGAAAAACCGCCACTTTTATAATAATTGAGGGGGCAAATGTGACTGCATGAATAACTCAGGGGGAAAAAGTGCTATAAGCATATAACATAGGGGGAAAAAGTGCCATTTTCCCTAATAATAATAATAATAATAATAATAAATAAATAAATAAATAAATAAATAAGGCAATAAAATAATAGTAAACAACTAAAAAGATGACAATAATAGTAACAAAAAAAAAAAAAAAAAAGGACAAATGAGGAGCCTGGTGCATGCTCCATTGCTCCCCTATGTCATCTCCAATATCCAAATATCATCTTTACTTCCCTAAATCTCTACCATTATCTAAATATCTTTATACATTTCCTAAGTGACCTATATATTATATTCCAGAATATTTCAATGAGTTAATACCAACTGAGGTCCTTTGAGTATAGTTATTTTACCACGTTTAGTCATAAGCTTTCAAATTGATCATTTGTGGCCCTTCAACTTTCAAATTTAAAATCATTCGCGGTCCAAGCTAACCACTCATGGTCTTTAAGTTTCAAAATTTAACCAGTTGTGGTCCTCTTGAAAGGACCGTGGTTAGTTAAAATTTAATAGTTTAAGGACCATGAGTGGTTAACTTGGATCACAAATGGTTAAATTTGAAAGTCGAAGGACCACATATATTCAATTTGAAAGTTTAGGACTAAACGTGGCAAAACCACTATACTCAGATGACCTCAGATGGTATTAACTGATATTTCAATCTACTATAAATGTTCAATTACCATAAGGAAACTCAATTACCATATATGCAGTACTCCCTACTATTTTATACTATAAAAGACTATTAACCGAAGACAAAGAGGCATGGAATTCAACTCAATTCAATCTTCATTACACAATACACAACATATCCATACATCTCTACAACTCTCTCTCTACCCAAAAATTACTTCTCCATTTCTATTAGAAATTTCATAAAATATTCTAGACCAATAGCTCTCTATACAAATTGTATTTCTACCAAGTTATTTTAAATATAGTGAATTTTGACTTAACATCGCCCAAAAAGAATTGTAATTTTTACCTTTTGATTTCAACTTTAAAAAATATTTTATCTCTTTATTATTTTTCTTTTATTCATCGAATTGGCCATGATGACATGCTGAATCAGTACCCCGGTAGCCATAAAATCATCAAATTGGTTTGTCACTGTTCAGTCTTTTATTTGGACACGTTATATTCTAATTTGAATTAATTCATTCTTTATATTAAAAAATACAATATAAATTTTATGACTTTTTAAAAATTTATATGCTACAGTATTTTTTTAAAAAAATTATTTGAATATAATTTATTGGAAACATATTTTCGAAATGAGTATTTGTGAATGCCTAAAACTTATGTGAGATTGATTCACAGATCTTTGTATGTGAGACAGGTGAGGTTAATATAAAAATGTAATACTAATCAGGAATATAGTGTTTGTTACTTATAAAGGAAAATGTAATACTTTTGAAGAAAAATGTAATACTTTTACATTTTGATTTAATGGTTCGTTTGAAATCTTGGAAAATGTTTTCCAGAAAATTATTTTCAAAAAATCACTCATTTTCTGCAAATATTTTAATTTTATGGTGTTTGGCTGAATGTTAAAAAAACTATCCTTTTTTTTTGTTTGGCTGAAAGTTAAGGAATAAAATTTTTTCCGTTTGGTTCATTTTCCTGAAAATGAACATATTATTTGTTATAATAATAATAATAATAATAATAATAATAATAATAATAATAATAATAATATGTGGTGATGGGGTGGTGATGGGGGTGGTGATGGTGGTAGTGGTGGTGGTGGTGTGGTGCGGTGGTGGTGTTGATGTTAGTGATAGTGGTGGCATTGATAGTTGTGGTGGTGGCATTGATAGTTGTGGTGGTGGGGTAGTGTGGTGGTGGGGGTAGTGGTGTTGGTATTGGTGTTGGTGGTGATGTGGTAGTGGTTGGGTGGTGGTGTGCGGGTGGTGGTCATGGTGTGATAGTGGTGTTGGTGGTGGTGGATGGTGATGATGTGGTAGTGGTGTTAGTGGTGGTGGTGCGGTAGTGTGGGAGTGGTGGTGACGGCGGTCGTCGTCGTCTAATAGTGGTGATGATGGTGGTAATGTTGTGGTTGTGTGTGTGGTGTGGTGCTGGTAATAATAATCATTCGGAAACTAACTTTAAAACAAAAAAAAAAAAAAAAAAAAAAAAAAAAAAAAGGAAGAGAGATGGAAAATAAAGAATTTAGACTAAAACTAAGAAGATATTTTCACCAAATTAGACTTGTTTTCGTTTATCAAAATTAATATTTTCTTTTTGACTTCATTTTCTTTGAGTACAAAAACACTGAAAATTCGAAAAATGACTACCGTAAGTCATTTTCCGGATTTTCAAATTGACCCTTAAAAGTATTACATTATTTCTTCAAAATCATTACATTTTTCCTTATAAATAATAAACATTGTTGAAAATAATGAACCAAATCAATTTAATATCCCAAAATAATATTTATATATACACACGAAAATATATAAAATATTATTGGATATATATCTGAAATATATATAAAACGGACCCAAAGGTTATATATACATATATATCTACGAAAAAGATATATCAATATATATAAACCAAAAATTGAAACTAATAATTCTGAGATTATAAATCCAATTTAAAAACAAATAGAGAGGAGGATTTTTGCTTAGAAGCATAATTCGAAACCGAAAGAAGGAAAAGATGGCTCGTGTATGGGTATAGGATTTTTAGCGCGAGTCAAGAGACCACTCTTTCCTTAAAACCTTATTTGCCACCTCCCAAAAGTGCTAGAAGCGCTATGGCCTAGGTTTCTCAGGATAAAACGTGCTACGGTTCGACGTTTGAGCACTCAAACGAACGAACCCGGCGAACTAGAGCAAAACCTTGAACACAGTTAGGCTTAATAAAGGAGTAGAAGCTGAAGAATTTTGAAGCTTGAAAACAAAATTTCGTGTGTGAGCTCTTGTGCTTGTTGTTGTAAAAAACTTCTGTCCTCTACCCCTTCTTATATAGGGGAGGAGTACTTTATAACATTAATCATGACCATTAAATTTGACTATGTAACATCTGAAACAGCAAGCCATTTAAATTCAAAATTAAAATTAGAATTAATTGAGAATTTAGTTCCACTTTTATCCGTAGACTGGCTTCAATATAAGTATTATATTTCTATCTCGACCCGATCCGTTTTATAAATATCCATAATCTCAAATGATAGTCACTCTGACTGAATTGTGATAAGATTATGATTTGAAATTTCAGTGTTGAATCTTTAATTAATTTTGTACTACGTATTAAATTACAGGTAATGGTGTCCTTGTGCGCTAAGATCCAACTGGATAAAAACAGGCAAAGTGCCAGATAATCATCGTTGTCCCAAAGAATATAACAAAAAGTTAAAAATCAGTCAAAATAATTGAGGGGATTTTCTTACTTAAATTTCTACTAAATTTTTAAACAACAAAATTTCATTTTTGACTATTGTAATATTGATTTTCTATTAAATTTTTTTTCTTTCATATATTTTTGCCTTTCATTTGTTTGTCAGATTTAGTCTCATTTTAAAATCTTTTCATTTCACCGTTTCATAAAAATAGCTAACAAATTATTTTATTGTTCAAGTTTATTGCCTCAACATGTAATTTATCTTCATTTCTTGTAAATTCTTTCAATTAAATTATTAAATTTAATATTAGTCATATTTATTAAATGGTCAAATAACAAAATTAAAAAAAAAATTAAATATGACAAGTAAATGAAAATTAAAGATGTAATGTAACAAAATTGAAAGAATAGAACTCAGTGAATTTGTTCTTTTCTAAAAGTAAAGAATTTAAAATAAAAAATAAAAGAAGTCTTATTTTTTTTGAGTGCTACTGACCCTGTTACAATGTAGTATCTGTTCATATGTTATTGACTCTATTACAATGTGATATCTGTTTGTACATACTTTTTTAACCTACTGAAGCACATAGAGTCAATGCCCCACACTGTAGTTCAAACTTGAGACCTCTCATTTGAAGAGCCAGAGCTATATCGCTCGACTACAACCTCTCATATTAGAGTATAATTTGATGCTACTAGACCACAAGATCTTGGCTAAAGTCCTATTTCTTATTTGGCCTGCGTATTAAATGAAAGGAGAATTAATACGGAGTACAATTATTTAAATGTAAAAAACATTAAATTATAAACCGGTTTTTAATCGAACAGGATATGGGCACATGGCACCATACTTTTTCTCTTCCTTCAGAGATCAGACACGGAAACTACACACCAAAATCTTCACACACACTAACGTATATTGTGTGTGTATATATGCATTCTCTATAGCGGCAGTCGTAGTATGAAGCAGCGTCGGAAATTTGAAATCCGGGCGTGAACTGTGAAGTGTCTAACAATTCATCTTCTTTCTTCGTTTCTTGAGGGATTTGGATTTGGGAATGGGGAGTTACAGAGTTTGTATGTGTTTCACGAGGAAGTTTAAGGTGACGGAGGCGCAGCCGGCGGCGGACGTGAAGGAGGCGTTCAAGAAGTATGCGGAGGAAGGGAGCCAGATGAGCTCGGAGCAGCTGCTGCGCTTCCTCACGGAGGAGCAGGGACAAAAGGAAGCCACTCTCGCGGAGGCGGAAGCGATCGTGCAGCAGATCCTCCACAAACGCCACCCCATTTCCAAGTTAACTCGTCGCAATCTCGCTCTCGACGATTTCCACCATTTCCTCTTCAACGCCGACCTCAACCCCCCAATCATTTCAAAGGTACTATACTATTTCTCTTGCGTTGACTGGTTGTAGAATTTTGAGTGCGCGAAGATTGGATCTTTCTCTAAATCTCCTGATAATTTACAATTTTCAAGTATTGACTCTTGAATTAAGTAAATCTGCGGATTCCTCGATCAGGAATTGACAATGAGAGAGGATTAGAATTTAGAAATGGTGAACCCAGAGTTCCTGATTTGGAGAATATCTAACCCAGGAGATGTGTTTTTATTCACTGCACACTCTCTCAGTTCCTCTCTTTAAATTACCCGAAATTTTTGTGCTTTCATTTTCAGATTTGGTCTCTTTGGGATTTTCTCCGATTCTTGATGTACCTATTACAAAACTTGGATCTAATGCTGAGCAAGAAATTATAATTCTGGCCTGCTTTTCTGGTGCAGTTCTTCTGTTTCTATTAGTAACTTTTGCATTGTGCTATCATTTCAGGTTCATCATGATATGACAGCTCCCTTATCCCATTATTATATATTCACTGGGCATAATTCGTACTTGACTGGAAATCAGCTGACAAGTGATTGCAGTGATGTTCCAATAATTAAGGCACTGAAGAGAGGTGTAAGGGTTATAGAGCTTGATATATGGCCAAACTCAGCAAAGGATGATGTGATTGTTCTTCATGGAAGGTTGATAATTTCTGTCTTGATTATGTTGAGTTTAACATGATATTGTTTGTTCAGTGCTCGTTGTTAGTTCTTTGTCCACTGCTTAATTCAAATTTCATTTGTTTCCTCATCTGAAAGGCTTGGTTAATGTATTTCTAAAGGAAATTAAGATACTAGATTTTTATTTATTTTTTAAAAATGGAAATTTGCAAAGTGGGAAATTTTAGGTATGGGTATGGGGGTTCAAAACTTTCTTTGATGAGTAACCTTTGGTTCTTTCTTCCACTTATTTCTGAAAACAATGGATTGTACAACACTTTGCTTATCACCTAAGCAAAGGACATGAATAATTATGCAGCAAGAGATTTAGTGCCATTGTATTGTAAATAATGGGAAGTTAAAATGCAAATGGCTCAAGATGGTGGATTATTGGGTATAGAGGTCCGAAATATATAGAAACTTATATGGTTGAATGAAATGTTCGATGCTTGGCTAGGTAACATTATGACACATTATTTTCCCTTTTCTTTATATTATTTCCGTATGCTCCATAGCATTTAAGCATATTTCTAAATGCAGGACAGTGACAACTCCTGTGGAACTCATAAAATGTCTGAAGTCAATAAAGGAGAATGCCTTTGTTGCCTCTCCCTACCCAGTTGTAATAACACTGGAAGATCACCTAACTCCTGATCTTCAAGCTAAAGTAGCTCAGGTGAGTTTCTGTTTTATAGATATGTAGAATTTTTTTGTTTCATCACCAATAAGGTGAAGGGAAATGTATTTCTAGAATTCAGTATGACTAGAAACTGTCTATTTGTGGTCTGTAGATGCTTACAAACACATTTGGAGATATGCTTTTTGTTCCTGAATCAGAATGCTTAAAGGAGTTCCCTTCACCAGAAGAACTTAAACATCGCATTGTTGTTTCAACGAAACCCCCAAAGGAATACCTTGAAGCTAAGAGTATCAACGAAAAACAAAGTAGCTCACTTAGCAGAAAGGATTCTGATGATGATACTTGGGGTGCTGAGCCTTCAACGTTAACAGCTTTCCAAGATGATGACAAGGTGAACCTTTTGTCTCAGTTTCTATCCACCTAGAGCCTTAAGTTGGTTACATATTGATGTTTTGATAACCTTCTAAGCAGAGCGAAGGTGATCCAAGCAAGCACAATCAGGAAAGCGAAGATTATGAGGATGATGACGACTTTGATCAGAAAGCAAATGCATATAAACGCTTGATTGCTATACATGCCGGCAAGCCCAAAGGAGGGATGAAAGAGGCACTGAAAATTGAGCCTGATAAAGTGAGACGCCTCAGTCTAAGTGAGCAAGCCCTTGAAAAGGCTGCTGAAGTTCATGGAACAGATGTTGTCAGGTATATTTCACATTCATGAAGGCATGAAGCTAGGAAATTTTTTTCTTCCTCATAAATTATCCTTCTTTTTTGGCTTTTGCTCTAATGGCTCCTCGTCTCTTGTCAGGTTTACACAAAGAAATATTCTTAGGGTGTATCCTAAAGGTACTAGGTTTAACTCCTCCAATTATAAACCACTAATTGGTTGGATGCATGGTGCTCAGATGGTTGCATTTAATATGCAGGTATACCTTATTTGATTTAGATTGATACCTTACCATGCTAGTTCTTTAATTATTATGTGCTCTTTGTAGCCCTTGAATATCACTCTGCTTTATCATTAGTACATGAACAAAGATTGGCTTGTACTATATTTATTCATACAGACGTTGTTTTCTAGAGTGTGATAGATTGATAGTTAATTGGAAAATATTGACTGCACAATAGCTCTTTTAAATACATTTGAAGATACATGAAGTTTAATGAACTTTGGATTTGAATCATTATACCTGAAGATACAAATTTTGACTTTTGGAGTCCAGCTTCCTGAAAGTTTATTCTTTGTCTTCCATTAAACTAATGTTATTCTTCAACGGCAGGGATATGGTCGGTCACTTTGGTTGATGCAAGGGATGTTCAGAACAAATGGAGGCTGTGGTTATGTCAAAAAGCCTGATTTCCTAGTGAAGGAGGTTTTTGATCCTCGTGCCACACTGCCAGTGAAGAAAACCTTAAAAGTAAGCGAACCATGAGAGAAACTGCAGTTCATTTTATTTTTTTTTAATAATCAAATCTCTCTATTTAGTATTTACACTCATATTTTACTTTGAAGGTAAAAGTATATATGGGAGATGGATGGCACTTGGACTTTAAACAAACTCACTTCGATTTGTACTCCCCACCAGACTTCTACACAAGGGTAAGCTGGTTTAACTTTTGCCCAATTACTTTGCTCTTTTCTTTTCAATTCTGTGTTTCCCAATTTTTTAAGGACATCAGAAATCATATAAAATATTTGTTTATTCATCTAGACTAGACAAGAACTTTGTGTTTCAATGCCAGAATAAATGTTTTTTAAAAAATAAAAATAAAAATATGTATACCTATACCAACAGTTTTGTGTAAATGTGTGATAAGTCCACCCTGAAATGGTGAGAAATAAAATGACAAAGTGTTATGACAGGTTGGGATTGCTGGTGTGCCGGCTGATGAAAAAATGATGAAAACAAAGAAAAAGGAGGACAATTGGACGCCGGTTTGGGAAGAAGAGTTTACGTTCCCGTTGACTGTACCGGAGCTAGCTTTACTACGAATTGAAGTACACGAATATGACATGTCCGAGAAGGACGATTTTGCTGGCCAAACATGCCTTCCTGTATCTGAATTGAGACCAGGCATTCGCGCAGTTCGCCTGTGTAACCGGAAAGGAGAGAACTACAATTCAGTCAGGCTTCTGATGCGCTTCACGTTTGTTTAAGTGTGCTGTTTGTTGATCTTCATCGGTTTGCTTGTGCTTTCGTTTCGTATAGAGGTGTGTGTATTCTTTTCCACTGTAAATTCCAAAAGGCTCTTCCAATGCATGACAATAATATATCTGAGTGCTTTGCTTTGTGTACAATTTGCAAGAAACATCAGTTATGGAAACAAAAACTCTATTTATTTTTAAAATTTCTGTTTCAGAATTTTGTTGTGAGGATCACTAAAGGGATCAGTTTGATACTGCAAAAATCACATTCTCAGCTGCAAAAACAACTAAAAACACAAACGAAAACAAAGGCTCGAGTAACATCAGAGTTAGGGAAACACATCGTTATCTCTTTTGGATCTTAGCAACATACAATTTAGGCTAAACACCGGAAAACAGATGGACCACAACAAAATTTCAAACGTGCCTTTGCCACCATTACATCCATCATCAATCATCTTTTCTTGAAACCATATTTTTTACGCTCGTAGAAAAGATCTGTCTTGGCACTCCCAAGATTGACAATTTTGGGGCAACCATCACGATCTTTTTCCTGCTGTGTACACTCTTTGCAGTAGTAGGCATCAGAAATCCCCAGCCCTCCACAAATCACACAGCGACCTTGAAAAGATCCATAGTTGCATTCATCGCAAACTCGCACAAGAGTGCAAGGCCGCACATAGGAATCACAAATTACACACTTGCCATCACATTTCTCACAAAGACGTCCAATGGCTATTCCCGGCTGCTTCCGGCACATAATTAGATCAGGGTGGTGCTTGGCCATACTTGATGCAACACTATTTTATACCAAGCAAATGAGCAAACTGCAAAGAGAATCACAAAAGAAAAGGAAAATGTTTCAAGAAAATAACTTTAAGAAAAGAAACCTCTTATTGTTATACAGTACTACTCTATGGTGTTAATTCTAATATGTAAAATTGTCATCTGAGCATTGGCTAACCTAGCAAAAACACATCCACTAGATGACATATCAGGCCTAACCAAGCATCCTTATGTGATTAACCCCTCATCGTAGAGTGGTGCCCTAAGAAGAAGTATTACTAGTGCACATAACTTTCTGCAACTAAAACTAATGCTCCAGTATAGTTACACCTACAGAGACCCATTAAAGTCTAGAGTGTTTTACTGCACCATTACGATGATTAGCCCATCTAAACCAAATTCAACAGTCTGCCTGCCTCTCTCACTCTCATGATCACCACCTCAATAATTAGGCCCTCTGGGCTCCAACCCCCTCCAAATCCCCACTCAACTTCCTCCTCCCACCACTCAACTGCAATACCTTTCTACATAATCTGCTCAATTCAGATTGTCATCCATTCATCCAAACTTAAAATAAAATTGATCTATAGAGTTAAATTTCACTAAATACAGCACTAAAACAAAATAAATATCAATAGAAGATGAATACTGCTGAAAGTACTTTTATATGATATATGGAGGTTGAAGCAATTATTAGTTAGGCTTTTTGTTGGCTGTTCAGACTTCAGAGTGACAACAGTTTCATCCCTATGTTATTTGGGTAGTACTATACTACTATCCAACTCCAAAATCCTAATGAAAACCATTAAGTAACATTACTTTTACTGACAGGTAATTGACTAAAAGTCTAAAATAAGCCAGTTATCATTGTAAACTTTCCAAGTTTAGTTTAATTTGTATTCATCAATTCAATGATTAGATACACAGAAGCTAGCAGCTTGCAAGTCTAAACAATATGTTGCATGTAGAAGGGCTAAGCGCCCTCTTCTGCTACATTTAGCATGCTGGAATCAACCATATGAATTATGATCCAAGCAATAAATTGCAAACACAATAGAAATCAAACACTACGAAAACATAAGAACTTTGGATTTAAGAGAACACGGCAATCAAAGGAAATTCAATATACGTATATAGTAGCAGGAGAAAGATGTTTGCAAATTGGAACTGGCATTTCATCAAACATATGGTCGATGCCTCAACCACAGCCCGCATTAGCCTCCAAAACAAATTGAAATGACCTCAGAAACTTTGACTATGGAGAGAAACAACCTAAACCAAGCCCTATAAAATATTCATCGAAGCGCATGCAATCGAAGTCGACGAAATCGGCTCAAAAACGACTGAACCTTTTTCAAAGCGACATATTCGCATAAACTCAGAGTAGAACACTGCAATTTACCTGAAAATCTTAGCGAGCTTGGATGATTTGATGCAAACAGCTGCGCATGAATCAAAGTCGAGCTTAGACTGCGATGATACCAATATTATATGACGCCAATTATTCCCTGAAATTCGAAAGCAGCATTGAAATTGAAATTCAACTCGCTGGCATCGTCGTGATTTTATGAGTGGGCCTGCTACATGTAATATCATTAGAAGGCAATGATGGACTTCTGAGATTGGGCCTCCAAACTCATTATTATGGTTGATAAAAACTGTTCCTTGCAATTTTTGTTTGGAATAAGGTTCAAATTAGTCACTGAACGTAAATTGAAAATGCAATTAGGTCAATTAGATCAGTGAACGCTCCAAAAATGTGCAATTAGGCCTTTGAATATTCTAAATTTATGCAATTTCACCGGATACTAGGTTACTATCAATTTTAGCAAGTTATCAGCTTAAGTGACAGCTGAGTTGGCATTTTAAATAAGTTTTAAATAATTTTTAATAAATTTTTAAAAAAATTAAACTACGGGTGGCCGACGTCGTTTTATTTTATTTTATTTTTTAATTTTTTTTTTAAAAAAAATTATTATTAAAATTTATTAAGAATTATTAAAAATGCCAACTCAGTTGCCACGTAAGCAGGTAACCTGCTAAAATTGATGGTAACTTACTATCAGGTGAAATTGCATACATTTGGAGTGTTCAGTGGCTTAATTGCACTTTTTTTCGTTCAGCAGCCTAATTGCATTTTTAGGTTACGTTCAGTGGCCAATTTGAACCTTATTCCTTTTTTAAAAAAAAAAATTATAGATAAATTTTTTTTTACAAGGTTGAACAGTAAGAATATTGACTATTTCTTGGCAAATTATTGTGTGGATCATGGTCCACACAATTGTGTGTACCATGATTATCAGGTACATTTTTAATATATTAAAAGTACATTATTTTTATATTGAAGGTACATTATTTTTGTACTGTGTTGAAAAGGAAACTAAAAGGAACCTGAACATCTTCTTGTTATTCCATCTTAGAAAGAACAACACATTACAGGACATTATATAGGAAGATAACAAGTATTGGGAAGGGACATAAAGGGTCTTCCCAAGGAAAAACTATTTCACTCCCAAAGACTTAAAAGCATAATAAATAACCCTGCAGAATAGGCTGCTCATATTCCAAGATAGGCTGCTCATATTCCAACACTCCCCCTCAAGCTGGAGCGTATAAATCAAATGCTCCCAGCTTGCTACAAATATACCCAATTCTAGGTCCACGAAGAGATTTGGTGAGAACATCAGCAAGTTGATCGTTTGACCCAACAAATGTGGTAATAATGACTCCGGATGCAACCTTCTCGCGTATAAAGTGACAGTCAACCTCGATATGTTTGGTCCTTTCATGGTAGACAGGATTGGAGGCAATATGTAGAGCTGCCTGATTGTCACAAACAAGTTTCATAGGTCTAAGCTTGCAGAAATTGAGTTCTGTGAGAAGTTGCTTAACCCAAATTAGTTCACAAATCCCTAGTGCCATTGCTCGATATTCTGCCTCTGCGCTTGACCGTGCAACCACATCTTGTTTCTTGCTTTTCCAAGAAACCAAATTCCCTCCAAATAGGACACAATATCCTGATGTCGATCTCCTATCCCAAAGACACCCAGCCCAATCTGCATATGTGTAACCAACAATTTCTGTATTTCCATGATCTTTATAAAGTAATCCTGTACCTGGGGATCTCTTCACATATCTTAAAATTCTGATAGCTGCATCCCAATGGCTTTGGCATGGCTCTTGTAGAAACTGACTAACAACGCTTACAGCAAATGAGAGATCTGGACGAGTGATAGTCAAGTATAATAGCTTGCCAACTAATCTTAGGTAACTGCTTGGGTCGGATAGAGGCTCCCCCTGACCTGGAAGAAGTTTAACATTCGGATCCATGGGTGTGTCAACTGGCTTGCTATCTGTCATACCTGTTTCTTCAAGGATGTCCAAAGCATATTTCCGTTGTGACATATAAATACCTTGTTTAGATTGGGCCACTTCAATACCAAGGAAATACTTCAACTTTCCAAGATCCTTTGTCTCAAAATGCTGAAACAAATGTCTTTTAAGTTCGTTTATTCCCTCCATATCATCCCCTGTGATAACAATGTCATCAACATATACTACCAGATATATGTTTTTTCCAAATAGGTGTCTATAGAAGACAGAGTGATCGGCTTTGCTTTGATTCATGCCAAATTGTTGGATCACATCACTAAATCTCCCAAACCAAGCACGAGGAGATTGCTTTAAACCATAGAGGGACCGTTTGAGACGACAAACAAGGTTAGTTCCAGTCTTAGCCACAAAGCCAGTGGGCTGCTCCATATACACTTCTTCCTTCAAGTCCCCATGCAAGAAAGCATTTTTGATATCCAACTGATACAGGGACCAGTTACGATTAGCTGCCATTGAGAGGAAGAGACGAATAGATGTGATCTTAGCAACTGGTGAGAAGGTATCTGTGTAGTCAATGCCAAAAATCTGTGTATACCCTTTAGCAACAAGTCGGGCCTTGAGTCTATCAACTTGTCCATTTGGACCAACTTTCACATTATACACCCATCTACAACCAACCACAGTTTTTCCAAGGGGTAAAGGAACTAACTCCCAGGTCCCAGAAGAATGAAGTGCTTCCATTTCATCAATCATTGCTTGCTTCCATCCAGGATGAATTAATGCTTCTTTGACACTTTTTGGAATAGAAACAGTAGATAAACTAGTAATGAAAGCACAATATGATGGAGACAATCTCTTTTGTGTAAGAAAATTATAAATGGGATAAGGATTCCGAGTGGATCTTTTACCTACTCGACTGGCAATGGGAGAGCTTATTGTGGTGCTTTGGACCGTGTCAGTGGGCAACGTTGATGTGGGACATGAATCAACTAAAGGTCCATCCTCTTGGGAACCTTGACGATTGCGCCGCTGATAGGTGTACAAGAAAGGTGAACTGTGTCCTTGAATGGTTGGCATTGGTATAGTTCTTTCAGGAACAGTAGAGGACATGGGCTCTGTAAAGGTAGGAACAGGGAGAACTTCTGTGACTTCAAGTGATTCCCCCAAGAAGTCAGATTCATCAATTGAGGTAGAAGAGAAAAAAGGCGTAGTTTCAAAAAAGGTGACATCAAAGGAGGTGTAGAAACGGTGTGTTTTAGGGCAATAACACTTAAAGCCTTTTTGGAGACGGGAATACCCAATGAACACACATTTTATTGCCTTGGCATCAAGTTTGTCACGTCCTGGAGAGCTATCATGGACAAAGCAAGTACTTCCAAAGATCCGTAACGGGAGTTTATAGAGAGGTTCCTGTGGAAGTAAAAGATTAAGAGGAATTTTCCCTTGCAACACAGAAGAAGGCATTCGATTTATTAGGTAGCAAGAGTGAAGTATAGCATCCCCCCAAAATTTCTTAGGAACCTTGTGGTGAATGAGCAAGGTGCGGGCTGTGTCAACAAGATGTCGAATTTTTCGTTCAGCAACACCATTTTGTTGAGGAGTCCTAGCACAAGAAGACTCATGTAATATCCCATGTGAGGAGAAGAACGAAGTGAATGAGTCAGAAAAATACTCTTTAGCATTATCACTTCGTAAAACCTTTAGAGATACCCCAAATTGATTCACAATTTCATTGTAGAATTTTTTAAACACATCAAATAGTTCAAAATGATTTTTCATTAAGAAGACCCAACTGCATCGAGAGAAATCATCAATGAAAACAACAAAATATAGGAACCCCAAGGTAGTTGAAACACGACAAGGTCCCCAAATATCAGAATGAACTAAACAAAAAGGTTTATCAGCCCTCCTATTCATTTTACTAGGGTATGAGGCTCTTGAGTGTTTTCCAAGTTGACAAGACTCACATTCTATTTCCTTTAAATTGGACAAACCAGGAACAAGTTGTCTTAATTTATTGATGTTAGGATGCCCAAGGCGACAATGGCTAAGAAAAGGTGAAACAGTAGCGGTGCAAGCTGTGTTGTTATCGGTAGAACCTAGAAGATAGTAGAGCCCTCGTGATTCATGTCCCGTACCAATCGTCTCCCTTGTCTGTCGGTCCTGAATAACCACAGAATTAGAAGAAAAAGTAACCAAGCAATTTAGAGAGTGAGTGAGACGATGGACTGAAATTAAATTGAAAGGACATCCGGGAATGTAAAGAACATTCAATAAAGAGAAAGAGTGGATGGAAACTTTCCCAATCCCCTTAGCTTTTCCTTTTGATCCATCACCAAAAGTAACATATGGAAGAGAATCTGAGAACTCAATTTGGGAGAAAAGAGAAGGGTTACCAGATATGTGATCGGTGGCTCCAGAGTCGAGGACCCAAACTGAGTTTGATTGTGAAGCAAGGGCAGTGTGAGAGATATCGGGAGAAATGGTTGTTTTGGCACCCTTTAATTGCAAGAATTCTGCATACTCAGCTTTTGAGATAACTTGTGTGCTTGAGTCCGCAGTATTTGGATTCCCAGATTGAGCTATATTAACCATAGTTGGTTTCCCATGGAGTTTCCAACAAACCTCACGGGTGTGCCCTGGTTTGTTGCAAAAGTCACAAAAACGAGAGGAATTACGTCCTCCACCTCGGCCCCGAGATATCGGGAGAAATGGTTGTTTTGGCACCCTTTAATTGCAAGAATTCTGCATACTCAGCTTTTGAGATAACTTGTGTGCTTGAGTCCGCAGTATTTGGATTCCCAGATTGAGCTATATTAACCATAGTTGGTTTCCCATGGAGTTTCCAACAAACCTCACGGGTGTGCCCTGGTTTGTTGCAAAAGTCACAAAAACGAGAGGAATTACGTCCTCCACCTCGGCCCCCTCGGTTACTTCCACGACCTCTTCCTCTATGATAGCTTTGAGTAGTAAGAGCAGAGTGATCAACAATGGTTGAGGATGGTGTATTTTCTTTATAAATAGAAGAGACTTGAAGAAGTCTTTTGAACATTTCTTTGGTTTGTTTGGAACATTTCCATCACCAAGTATACCATTACGGACTTGCTCAAATTCTGGTTCAAGCTTGGCAAGGGTAAGGACAACAAAGAACTTGTCACGTTGAGTAAGTTGCTCTTCTGGTGATCCCCCAATAGGCATGAGCTTGTTAAATTCAGCCATAAGTCCTTGGATTTTTCCCAGAAATTTCTCCATTGACATCTCTGATTTTTTGATATTTAGTATCTCACTAACAATGAAATAAAAATGAGAGATATCATTTGTATAAAGGGATTGAGCTTGTTTCCATACTGAAAAACAGGTTTTAAATGGTCTAAACATAGGAATCAGGTCAGGGGCAAGAGACTGCCATAATAGACTGCAGAGTTGGGCATCAACTCTCTCCCAAATATCTTTTTCATGCTGAATCTGTTCTGCTATAATAGTGAGATGGTCAACAACTCCTTGACCCATAAACCATAGTTCAACTGCTGATGCCCAATCTTGATAGTTTTGGGAACCAATGAGTTTCTCACTGGTGATAGTTATGCTCCCTGAAAGATTTGAAACATAGACTCTAGGCTGAACAGGAAGGATAGTATTTTGGGTACTGTTTATGATTACCTCTTCTGCCATACTGATCAGAAAAATGTGAGAAAAACAGTGTAGGCAGTGAGCAGTTGCAGCACCAGTTATGCCAAAAGAGCTCTCAGGAAAAAAATGGAATATTTTAGAAGTAGGCAGTGAGTGGTGGCAGTGAGTAGTTGCTGTGAAGGAGAGAAGATTTTCAGGCCACAAGAGGGTGGCTCTGATACCATGTTGAAAAGGAAACTAAAAGGAACCTGAACATCTTCTTGTTATTCCATCTTAGAAAGAACAACACATTACAGGACAATATATAGGAAGATAAAAAGTATTGGGAAGGGACATAAAGGGTCTTCCCAAGGAAAAACTATTTCACTCCCAAAGACTTAAAAGCATAATAAATAACCCTGCAGAATAGGCTGCTCATATTCCAAGATAGGCTGCTCATATTCCAACATACTGAAAATACATTATATAAAATAATGTACCCTTAGTATATTAAAAATGTACATTTTATTTATGGACCATACAATTATGTGGACCATGGTCCATGCAATAATACTATTATAAATAGAAAAGAGTTGTGATATTTTTATAAACAATGAAAGTATAATTATTATTTAATTTTTTTAAAGAAAATTATTATTTAATTTATAAAAATTGTATTATTTATTTATATTTATAATAATCGATACTATTATTATTATTATTATTATTATTATTATTATTATTATTATTATTATTATTATTATTATTATTATTTATTATAAAATTAATGTAATTTGTAATAAATGTTTTTATATTTCCTATTTACTTTGAATTAACTTGCCCCCAAAAAGTTATAAAATGTAGCAACGCTCAACAATTTGATTAGATTGTTGACTTGGTAACCACAATGTTAGGTTAACATTATCTCAGCAAATTTCTCCCACTATAAAATATGGACCCACTTCCACATCATCTCATTTACAAATCATCTACTATTCACACTACATCCCTACAAATTCATCTCATTCTAAAAAATAGATCTCACATTCATATTATATTATAAATATAATAATAAAAGAAAAAAAAATAAATAAAATGTCAACTGCTCGGCAGCAAAACAATTGGCTTGCAAATGCTTTTGCCGAGCAAAAGCTGCCAAAAGACTGTTTAGCAAATTTGCAAGCCAGTTGGCATTTAAACAAAAGAAAAATAATATCATATATTCCATGGCATCTTCCACATCACTTTGTCAATACCATATTTGTAGGGGTAACTTCAGCCTTAGGCTAACCCCATCCCAGAAATGATTCCACTTGCAAGATGAGGTGGCAAAAAAATTATTTTTTTATTAACAACTCATGCCATGTGTCTAGCAAGCTTTCTTATTTAAAAAGCTTGCTAACACTTACAAAGGCTGTCCTGGCAGCCTTTGTGTACTTTTTCTTTTTTAATTTTTTTATTTGTGTACTTTACTTATTTGTTATATTATTTTATTATTATATTTATAATATAATATGAAAGTGAGACCATTTTAGAAAGTGAGAGAATATTGTAGGGATGTAGAATAAATAGTAGATAATTTGTAAATTTGATGATGTGAAAGTAGGACCCATTTTAGAAAGTGAGAAATTTTTGGGATAAGGATAGCCTTATAAGTTTGACTCCATGTGGGAGAAAATTATTGACTTTTTTATTTAAACCGGTCAGTTTTGAGAAACCTAAGTTGTTTTACCTTCTGGTACGTAATCATTTGCCAACAAGAGTCACAAGACGGGATTTACTCAATGCACACCAATACATGCGAGTTTTCCTCATCACTCAAAAAAAAAGTTAAAATTGTTATATTTTGGCCTATCAACTCGTTAGTTGTCTCGCAGTGTCTGCACGGTAATAGCCCGAGGTTTGTATGTATGTGTATACGTGTGTAGAATAAAGAAATAAAAAGGAAGAAGGAGAAGAACACAATTGAGCACCACAACCATGTAAGTGTATTTTATCATTTAGCTTTCACCACTTATATAGTGGTTCATACAACCCTTCAACTACATAACATAAATAATGTAATCAATGGAAAGCAAATGAAGAGTCTTTACATTTTAATGGCCATAAGTATAATAATTATAACACTCCCCCTTGGCCATTAAATGACTATACTCATGCCTCGTTAAAAACCTCGCTAGAAAAACCCTGTGGGAAAAACTTAGTCGAGGAAAAGAGTACATGTAGTATAAAATATGTGTTGCATAGACAACTAACGAGTTGATAGGCCATAACGTAACACGTTATCAGCATGAATCGCCAACATATCCCTCGATGAACGGTATGCTTGAACCTGTTATAATACATATTTATATACTAGGCAAGCATGTTCATAGGATTCATATATTACATGATTGATATGATACATATTGATTCTGAAATTTGAAATATGAATTACACATATTGGTTTGTATATATATGTGCTTGAAAATTCCTGAATATGGATTTCTAATTTTTTTTTGCTTCTGCGGAAAAATGTGATTTTGCTTCTATGTGTATGTATTGTTTGCCCAGTATGTATATTCAGAATGATTTTGTTGTCTTGCTTAGTCCCATTAATTCGACAAAGAGATCATAGTGCAGTAGGATATTCAGAATGATTTTGTTTGCATGTGATGTTGTTTTTGCTTTTTGAAGTATTCAAAATTCCTATTCATTTTTTATTCATTCCTATTCAAATAAAAGTATGAAGATGGAATATATGTTCACAGTGTATTCGTAAAGCATAATGATTAAGCACTAATTTGGCATTAAGTTGGCATCATTGCTTTAATGAGCATTGATCCAATACGGAAGGTGAATAATATCAAAATTTGTGTGCTAAATCATTACGGTAGCTAAGGTTGATGGTACTAAATTGTTAAATTCATGGATGTTGTTGCTAAATTATGTCCTGTAACAAAATGATTGATCATGATTATTTGTAATCTATTACCGCAATATGAGCATGTTACTAGTAAGGTTTCTATGCTTCAATTTTTTTTTCTTGTTTAAATATGAAAGTTTCCCTCTTGCATGAATCCGAAAGGATAATCTGTTCTGTAGAAAAGTTTAATGTTGTATATGTACGTATGGTTTGAAATTCTCAACCTCTCGTTTTACTTTTGACCATTTGTGGTGATAGACTTGTCATGGGCAATTCGAAAAGTAATTTAAAGCGATGCATGGAATGTGTTGTTTAGTGGAATATTAAGCGATGCATGGATACTTTGTGAAATATGCATGTTATCTTTCCGTATTATCTTTATTAAATTTACATGGAAGAATATTTATCTTTCAAGTATCCGAAAAGTCAATTTTATGGCTTCTTGTATGTATTCGAAAGATCAATTTGTATTTCGAATTTTATCTTTTGGTTTCATCTCTTGAAGTTTACTTTGCATCTAGAAGATGTTAAATTCCTTATTTTGTTATGTTCATGGAGAAATATGAATGTATATGAGAACATATGAAATGTATTTTGTAGATCATGCCTTATATTACTAGACGAGAATTTACTGAGCTCGCACTTTACGGAAGCAAATATTTGACTAGGCTCTAGACATCGAGACTCACCTCGCGTCTAAAGAACTAAGCCAAACCATTGTTGCCGAGTCACAATGTACTAACGCCCAGAAGGCGCAGGCTCTCATTTTCTTACGTCACCACTTGAACCACGACCTGAAAAATGGATACTTGACTGAAAAGGACCCTTTTGCATTATGGAAATCCCTGGAGGACCGTCAAGAAGTTTCAGAGAAAGACTTTAGTGATCAAGAATGATCTATTTTATGTTCTTGGTTTATGAACCTATTTTTTCGTATCGTTTTCTTTTGAATTATGAACTTATGTTTTTCATGTCATTTTTATGACTTGTTATCTATGTCTTTCTATTTTATCATGGTAAATGGTTCACCTCATCTTTTTTTTTTTTAACCTTCACGTGTTATTTTTGTGCCAGGTCAAGTGTTTGACTTGAAAATATTTTTGGGAAACTTATCTTTTAACCCCAAACTATTTTAAATAGCATTTCTAGCCCATGGTCCATGAAGCATGGTGGACCACAAACCATCCAAAACTTGTCTGATTTCTTTCTTCCTGCCAAGTCCTATTTACTATTTTGCCATCAACCAATCATTGGCATTTATCCTAGGGTTTTGGACCCTATATAAGCATCAATAATGCCTTGTGTTTTCCTGATTTCCTCCTTGCCTCTCCAAGCTCTCTGTAGAAGAAAGACAACAAAGGCAGTAAGTATTCCACCTTCCCCAGCCATCTATTTCATTCATCTTTCCCTTAAGGTTTCATCTCCCTTTGTTTAAATCTCTGAAGTTCTATCTCTAGGCTTGGGTTGTATGGTTGTATGAAGAGTCTAGGAAGTGTCATCTGAGGAAGGAAAGGGAACCACACAATAGAAAGAAGATGAAACAACAAATGTATAACCTCGTGGATTCCCAATCTCTTTTTGACTCTGTGAAGTCACTGCTATATGGTTAGAAATGAGTAGAAATGTTAGAATATTGTGTGTTTGAGCTATTAGATGACTTGTTGATGTTGTACAATGTGTTGGTGATGTTTTGGAAGTGGAATTGTGTCTGAAAATGCATTAAAGGTGAAGAAGGAGCCACTGGTGCACTTCTCAGTGTGCACCAGTGGAAGTCACGGGCCTAGCCAACGGCCCACGAGGGGAGCCGTTGGCTAGACGGCCCTAGGCCGCCGCTAGGCGGTCCCAGGCGGCGGGGCTCCTCTAGCCCCGTTGGTTTTGTTCTGTGCAGTGGCTGAGCCCTTGTGGCTCAGCTACGTGTCGTTTCGAACCAGGTGTCACGGGCCCTTGTGGCTCAGTACCTTGGGGCCGTCATGACGCACGTTTGGACTTTGATTTCGTTGAATTTGGATTAGAAATGAGCATTTTATGATTGAATTTGTGAAGCAAATGTGTTAAAGTAATGTTTCAGTGTTTGAAAATGAGGAGTATCAGACTTGATTTTGCCTATGTGAGTTGCTTGATACTATTTGATTGTTAAATTGAGAAGCATGATCATTAATTGAATAAGTCTTGTTAGAAAAGCATGCCTAAGGTGTATGTTATGATTCATGGAGATTATAGTCAGATTCCAATTGATGAAATGTACAGAGCATGTTGTTTTGAAATCCAAGCATGATTAAGTGTTCTTTGAGAAATTCACAATAATATATAATTGAATTATGTTGTATAGTAAATTGCATTTCAAGCATTTCATGTCTTATAATTGCATAAATGGCCAACGTGAGTCTAAGTATTATTTTCCAAATTCATGAGCATGTGGTATGTCATTACCTTGTTGCATTGAGAAGTTCTTGAGATGTGACATGCATAAGTTTGGTGCATGAGAGATATATATATTATCTATATATTAGTGAGGTCTTGGAGGGCCCGTTAGGACTACCTCCTTTCGGAGAGGATGACCGGACATTGCGATCCGACAGATTTATCATGTAACACGGCCTATTCCCACGTTACGAGGTTGGAGACTTCCCGCCAGGCTTGGAATCCTGATTAGGGGGTGTGCACACTAAAAGTACGATACCTGGTTCCACAGAGTTTGAGCATAGAACCAAGAGAGTGTTTCGGTGGGCGAGTTGAGTATGTGGCCGGCTAGATTGCCGAGCCGGTTAGGTCCATTCACGATTCGTGAAGACCTACCTCCCCACGATTTAGAGGTTCCGTAGTTACGGATGTGGCGGATACACGAGATTGCACCGTACGCTAGGGCTTCGCTGCGGCGGAGTACCTGCCTCGCACAAGAAGAAAAATGAGAAGTATGAGAAAGTTTGAGCAAGAAAGAAATCGAGTCAAGAGACTCAAGAGAAAGAAAGCGAGTCCTTGTGGCTCTAAGAAACCTCCACATAAAAGTATTCTATTTACAAACGAGTGTATAAGTATACTTATCCTATAGCATCTTATTGCATTCGAGTATAATATTGCACGAGATTGCATAATGAGAATGTTTGCACAAGATTGCATAATGAGAATGTTTGCACTAGATTGCATATTGAGAATGATTACCCGAGTTTGTATATTGAGTATGATTGCCTTAGTTGCATATTGAAATTGATGTCTCTTAATTGCATGTTGAGAACTTGATTGCATGAGATCGTTATGGAGTTGTTCTATAGAGTTGAATTTTGCTATGTTGATTATGTGTTAGTATGGTTACGTTGATAAGTTGTTTATTGATGAAGCATGCCTGTTGATATTATAGGTTGCGAGCATATAGAAAGCTTGTAGTTTATCTTAAAGTTGTCTAAGTGTTTGAGATTGCTTGAATTAGAATGTGAGCAAATGTTTTTCAAAGTATATACTGTAGTATTTTACAGGGTTGAGTGTGGTTATACTTAGCTTCGTGCTAACGGGTGTTTTCTATTTGTCTATTTGCAAAACCCCTTTCAGGTGGGCCCAGCTTTTGAGAGTGCTCGAGTTAGACTAGTGTAGTTAGTAGCTATGTAGTCTAAACTCTTTGATCTATTATCATTGTTTTTGAGATTATGGATGTAGACATCTTTTGTTTTGTTGATGATAGACACCGGGGTGCTTTTCCCCAAGTTACTTTAATGTAGTAAATTTCGGATGTTAGTTTGACTTGATGTTTAGTTTCACCCTTAGCCTGTGCAATCACCGTGGGAAGGTGGTTGTGGCGGTGACATTCCCACTAAGTTTGTTAATAAAGTTTGATTTTCCGCTGCTTAGTTTATCTTAATTTGGTTTTAGAACTTTAATTAAGTTTAAGAAAAGTGGGGTGTTACAAGTTGGTATCAGAGCGGTACGAACTGCGGAAAACTTAGGAAGTTTGACCCTTAAGATTGAGTATAGAAACTCTAAGTAAAAGTCCTAGGAAGGACAAGTTAAGGAAAGACCTCTAAGTCGAAGTCTTAAGAAGGACAAGTTAAGATGAGAATTCTAAGTGAAATCCTAGGAAGGATATGAATAGGGAAAGAGCCCTAAGTTATGAATTTGAGATGAGAAAGACTCTAAGTTCAGTGATTAATTATGAGAATCAGAGTTAAGAGGAACTCTTAGTATCAATTAGGAACGCGGTGAGGTTGTGAGTTTTCCTTTCGTTTGCTTAACTGTTTATGTGCTTTATCAATGTGTTTAAATTGCTTTTGCTTATCTTTTGAAAGTAAAGTAGAGAAGTTATCAGTGAGAAGTTGGAAGTGAAAAACCAAGAGTTTGAAAGCTAAAAGCTAAGAGTTTGAAAGTTGAAAGTAGAAGTGAAAGCTGAAAGTGAAAAGCTAAAGTTAGAATCTGAAAGAAAAACCTTGTGAAGTTGATAACAGTAAGAAGTATACAAGTTTATACCTATGTGTGTTTGTGTGCTTTGCTTGTTTAGATCTGTGGTTGTTGTACTCTGATAGTGTGCACATAAGCTCCTTGTCCTTGAAACCTATTTTTCACTCCATATATGAACATTCATTGTGTTGTTGGTTGTCTAAGCATATTCCTTGTTCATATGCTTGGTTTTGACGTCGAATCTTGAGTATATTGTTGTGTTTATTGTGCCAATCTTCTATTCCGAATTCATTGTTGTTGATGGCATGATAATCCTTGATTTTGAGCTTTTGGCTATTTTCTTGTACTATGATCTCCTTATTGCTCCTATTTGGTTTGGAATGATTATTGGAACTCTTTAGAGTCTAGAGTTGGGTATTTTAGGCTTGCTTTGATTGAGTTTGGATCTTGAATTTCTTGAAATAATCTATTCTTGATATTCCTATGAGCTATTTTGAATTTGTTGATCCAAATGCTTATTAATTCGTTATAAGTAATCTTGTGAGCCTTTCGTTGGATTGCATGCAAGTATAATTAGTCCTTGAAGCTAGTATGACCTTGTTGAAAGCCTTACTCTTGGAATCTCATTGAATTTGATTTGAGCTTGTTATCCTTGAATCCTTATTATTGAAATCCATTGAGTTGTTGAGTCAAGCTATATTCGTTGTTGTTATGCCATTGGAATCTGTATTTGTTGAGTTATTCCTATGAGCTTATGCCTATCGAGTATTCTTGAAAGTGTTTGTTCTTGAAGAGCTATTGTATTGGCTATATGTCGTTTTGTACTCTTGGATTCTGTTGATATAGTTTTGAGGTTCTCCATTGTGGTATTCTTTCCTTGTTATTGAGCTATTGATTCGAGATCATCTTTCTTTTATATATTCCTTTGGAATTCACTAGTGTGTTGATCTATTGCTTGAGATTAAATCCTTATTGCATCTTTATTTGGAACCCATTAGTATTGAGTTATTTCATTGAGATTATTCTTTGTTGTGTCCTTCTCTTGGGATTCGATCCACAACTTTTGTTTCACAAGACTTTGTTGAATTTTGGAAAATCGTGACCTTGATAAGCATAACTTTGGTTGTAACCAATAGTACTCTCCAGTTTCAAAATTAGAAACCTCTTACTTTCTTCCTCGTGAAGTCAAATTCCTTCAAATCAAGTGTACACCTATCTGGTGAATTCAAGTTTGTTAGTTCAGCAGTTGCCTCGTTAGCCTTGTTATTATCCTTGAAAAGTGAAAGTTGAAAGTTAAAAGTTGAAAATTTAAAAGTTATGTGAAAGTTGATAATGTGGTAAGTATAAGAGTTATGCTTGTATCCTGTTTGTGTGCCTTTGTTGTGCGTAAAGAGATAGTTTGTGTCAAACGTTAATGATTAAGCCTAGTTCCTATAGTATCGTAATGGTGCCAAGAAGCAACGTTTGGATTCGGAGCATTCGTAGAGTGGATCTTCCCGTCGTCGAGGCACATCAGATCCAAGGAAGCACGCAAAGCCAAAGCAAGAGAAAAGCTAGCGAAGATGTGAAGCAAGTAGAGAAGGAGTAAAGACTTACCCATCACGATCAAGTCAAGGATTTTCAAAGGAACCATGGCACGGTGGATAGCAAAGATCGCTCAAGTCAAGGCCCAAGTGTAGCAAGGAAGAACAAGATTGAGGGGGAGACACTATCATTATAAGAAGAGCGGGAAGGATCACCCAAGAACCAACTGTAGTGGGAACCTAATAAGGTGCTTCAAATGTGAGGTTGGGCATCGAGCCTATGAATGCTACGCAAATCAGAAAGGGAACGCCTTAGGTCAAGGACCTGATGAGAGTGGACGCCAGCTGAAGAAAAGATCCTATAGAAATTGGTCTGGGAACAAGAATGACAAGGGTGGACAAAGGGGAACCACGACAGTAACAAGAATAAGAGAAGTAGGAAGGAAAATCAAGGCCAAAATAGTGGTCGCAGTAATCAGCTGATGAAGAGGGTGCAAGTGAAGATTGTTGGCGTGGAGACAGGTACACTCCTAATGAACGCCATACCTATTTAAGTAACATAGTTGATTTTGGAATTTCAACCTTCTGTGACTGTTATGCTTTTGGATTGATAGAGAAGGGACCTATAAAGGTTAGGCTGAAAGAATAAGAGTTGAATTAGAAACATAGAGAATTGAAACATAAGATTGGGTTATTCGTAAGTAAGACAGTTCCTTCTATCTTTAAGAAGTTAAGTAGTGAAGTTATCAGTGAGAAATTGGAAGTGAAAAACCAAGAGTTTGAAAGTTGAAAGTAGAAGTGAAAGCTGAAAGTGAAAAGCTAAGAAAGCTAGAAGTTAGAATGTGAAAGAAAAACCTTGTGAAGTTGATAACAGTAAGAAATATACAAGTTTATACCTATGTGTGTTTGTGTGCTTTGCTTGTTTAGATCTGTGGTTGTTGTACCCTGATAATGTGCACATAAGCTCCTTGTCCTTGAAACCTATTTTTCACTCCATATATGAACATTCATTGTGTCGTTGGTTGTCTAAGCATATTCCTTGTTCATATGCAGCTTTAATACAAATCTGACTTAGTGCATATCATGATTATTCCCCCTTGTAACTAGTACGTTGTGTAGAACCTAATATTTCCCATCTGTGTGTATTTGGGTGTGCAGTTTATACCCCCATACCACCTACAAACCGTACCTCCATGGGCCCGCAGCGAAAACTAGGTATATATGTTGGTTATGAATCTCCTTCCATCATTAAATACCTAGAGCCCATGACAGGAGATCAGTTTACCGCGAGGTACGCTGACTGCATTTTTTACGAAGATCATTTCCCGGCATTAGGGGGAGATAAAAAACCTTATTTAACGAAATTCTGAGAAATCTCATGGGATGAAAAGGATTTTCAGTATCTAGACCCACGTACTAGTCAAACTGAACTAGAAGTTCAGAAAATTATTAATTTGCAAAATTTAGCAAATAATCTGCCAGATGTTTTTACTGATAACAGAGGAGTGACTAGGTCTCATGTCCTTGCTATGAATGCTCTTTCGAGAGTTGAAGTCCCCGAGGGACCAAGTATGCACATTGACACTCCCCATCGCCAGAAGCGCGGGAGACCACTTGGTGCAAAAGATTTAAATCCGCGGAAGACGAGAATTGGTAAAATATCTCAGTCACTCCAGAAAAATGTTAACCGTCCTGAAGACGACCATCCCGAAGATGGAGAACCCAGTTAACCTGCACGTGCTCTAAATAATATGAACACTAGGGATGTGGAACATCCTGATCAGAATATTTTGGGAAATGATGATGATCTGGTTGATGTCAATATAGAAACTGCCATAAATTTTGTTGATACAAGAGAAACATATAACAGAGATTTAATAGTCGTCGATGACACTTTTGCATATGCAGTTGCATGTAATATTCCACAAAATAATCTGAATCCAGAACCAAAGTTAATAATTGAGTGCCGGAAGCGCTCTGACTGGTTGAAGTGGAAACAGGCAATTGAGGCAGAACTCAACTCGCTTAATCAAAGAAAAGTTTTTGGTCCCACCGTATTAACCCCAAAAGATGTGATCCCAGTAGGATCTAAGTGGGTATTCGTACGAAAGAGGAATGAAAATAATGATGTGGTTAGATATAAAGCGAGATTGGTAGCTCAGGTAGGGGTGAGCAAACGGTCGGTCGGTTACATAACCGACCGAATAACCGAATAACCGACCGTGGTTTTTGACCTTCGTAACCGACCGAAACCGACTGAAGGTGGTCCTATGATCGACCGATAACCGACTGTCAGTTTTCGGTCGGTTACCAAAAAACCGAATTCAAACAAGATAAATCAAATTCCAAAGGGAAAAATCTAAAATACATATACATACATACTGTTTAGTCACTACTGCTGATGCCTAAATTCCAAATCCAAAATAAATGAACCAAAATCACAATAAAACTATTATTGTTTAAAAGTTAAAACATTAGAATAAACACTGGCGAAAAAAAATTAAAAATTTATCTACATTTAATTAAACATCTTTTATATATATATATATATATATATATATATATATATATATATATATATATATATATTAGCAGTAATTAACAGTAAATAATATAATATAACAGTAGTAGTTAACAGTAAATATATAACTAACAGTGTTAATTACTACTGTTAATAACAGTAGTAATTAACAGTAAATAATATAATTAACAGTGTTAATTACTACTGTTAATTATATATATATGTCGGTTATCGGTGACCCTAATAACCGTATAATAACCGATAAATTGAAAAATCGAAATTTTTTTAAAGGTGATAATCGTGACCGACCGATAACCGATTTTTTCAATCGGTTCGGTTATCAGTTAGCGGTTTTCGGGCGGTTAACCGGTAATTTGCTCACCCCTAAGCTTAGGGGTTCACGCAGGGATCCAGAATTGATTTTGATCAAACATACTCTCCTGTTATTGATGGCATTCATTCCGCTATTTAATATCACTGGTAGTAAACATGAAATTAGATATGCAGTTGATGGATGTAGTGACAGCTTACCTTTATGGGTCACTAGATGCTGATATATACATGAAAATACCCGAGGGTATTCAAAATTCCAATATGAGGGAGAAAGATCGAAACATGTATAACATCAAACTTCAAAGGCCATTATATGGCTTGAAGCAATCTGGAGAATGTGGTATAACCATTTGAGTGAATTCCTCCTGAAGAAGGGATATGTTAAAAATGATATTTGCCCTTGTATATTCATTAAGAAGTCATCTAATGGTTTCTGTATTATATATGTCTATGTCGATGACATGAACATTATTGGGACAAAGGAAGACCTTATAGAAGTATGTTCATTCTTAAAGGCAGAATTTGAAATGAAAGACTTGGGAAAAACCAAGTTTTGTCAAGGCCGGCAGATCGAGCATCTCCCCAATGGAATTTTCATTCACCAAGCTAACTATGTTAATAAATTATTGGAGAAATTCTATATGGACAAATCTCATACCCTTAGCACTCCAATGGTAGTCCGATCCCTTGAAGCGGAAAATAACCCATTTAGACCTAAGGAGGATAATAAGGATGTATTAGGACCTGAAGTTCCTTACCTAAGTGCTATTGGAGCCTTGCTTTATCTGGCTAATTGCACTAGACCAGATATTGCTTTCTCGGTGTATTTACTTGCTAGATTTAGTGCCTCTCCAACCAGAAGACATTGGAGTGGAATAAAGCATATCTTTAGATATCTCCAAGGGATAAAAGACCTTGGTCTTTATTTTGAAAACAACCAGGACATTACTTTGACGGGGTATTCAGACGCCGGTTATATGTCTTACCCTTATACTGCTAAATCGCAAACTGGTTATGTTTTTCTTTGGAGGTCCATTAAACAGACCTTAGTTGCTACCTCATCTAATCACCCGGAGATAATTTCTTTATATGAAACCGCACGCAAATGCGTATGGTTGAGATCACTTATACAGCATATCTATCGCTCATTAGGAACAATGAGCAGTGTTGATTCCCCGACTGTCCTATATGAGGACAATGCAGCATGTGTTGCAGAGATAAGTAATTGATACGTTAAAGGAGACCTTACTAAACATATCGCTCCTAAATTCTTTTACCCACATGAACTCCAGAAGAGTGGTGAGATACTCATTGAAAATGTTCGCTCTTGTGAAAATCTGGCAGATTTGTTCATTAAGTCCCTGCCTACATCCACCTTTGAGAAGTATGTTTATAAAATTGGGATGCGAAGGCTAGGAATACTTTTGCTCAGGGGGAGCAATAAACTCTAAAGTTTAAATCTGGAAGATGATGCCCGGAAGGCTTACGATTGTACTCTTTTTCCCTTAACTAAGTTTTTCTCTCACTAGGTTTTCTTAGGCTAAGGTTTTTAACGAGGCATGGGTATAATCATTTAATGGCCAAGGGGGAGTGTTATAATTATTATACTTATGGCCATTAAAATGTAAAGACTCTTCATTTGCTTTCCATTGATTACAATATTTATGTTATGTAGTTGAAGGGTTGTATGGACCACTATATAAGTGGGTCAAAGCTAAATGATAAAATACACTTACATGGTTGTGGTGCTCAATTGTGTTCTTCTCCTTCTTCCTTCTTATTGCTTTATTCTACACACGTATACACATACATACAAATCTCGGGCTATTACCGTTCAGACACCACGAGACAACTAACGAGTTGATAGACCAAAACGTAAAAAAAAATAAAATAATAAATGATACTCTGTATACAATTTGATATAAGTAATTTTATATTATTACCAAACTTCCATTACAAAACATCCTAAATATTATTACCATCCATCACAAAACATCCCAAATATTACAAAGTCATTAATAAAAGTCATCATTACAATACAATCTTAATTATGACCGTCGCGACCACCACGGCCACGACGGGCTGCCATAGCAGCCGGCGGGCCAAACTCACCTCCACCAGTACAAATAAACTCCTGCGAGACCAAATAATCGGCAAACTCTGTCAAAGTTACCGGAGAACCGCGTGTCAACGGAGTCACCAGAGGACGAAGCTCCGACCGCAAGCCACGGAAAACATACAGATTCTGATCGTCGAGAGTCACAGGACGCCCAGCCAACGCCAAATCCTCCACCAACATCTGCGCGCGTCCAAGATAATCTGAGATGGAGGAGCCGCCTTGCGCTAAACCTTGCAACTAACCGAGCAGGCACAGAGCACGGGACCGAGTCGCCGATCCCAACGACTCTTCTATCGCCAACCACAATGCCCGTGACGACGACCGACCAACCGTCAAGGGCATCGTTTCATCGGACAGCGAGGAAATCAAAAGAGACAAGATCGGTCGATCCTGCCGACGCCACTGAACTTGAGGAGAGGACGTCGCCGGGTCAGCGCCACCACTGTCCGCCGTTGAAGCCGCCAGTGCAGAAACCTCCGGAGAAGGAAAGGTGACGTTGATGAAACTGAGCAAACCCTGATCCTCCAAGAACAGGATCATCTACGTCCTCCAAAAAAGATAATTACGCGCGGTGAGTTTAAGGGAAACAAAGTTGTGTGTAGAGGAAAGGCTATTGTTTGGTAAAACGGGGGTAGGAGCAGCCTCGGTAATAGTTCGTTCAGAAAAATCGCGAATAGAGCCGTCATTATTTGTACCCAAGGTTGCCATGGAAAAAGTGGTAAAAGACCTAGAAACAACTGATACCAGATGAGTATTGGAATTTCAGTAATCAACGTAATACAAGTCTGTACAATAATAATATAGAAAGACAGAAAGAGAATCCTAGTAGACTACAAATATAAGAGTTATAACATAGACAAGTGAGCAAACTAGGATAATACAATTATTATTATTTAAAAAAAAAAAAAACACATTAAAACATTACCTTGTCTAACAATTACTGACTCAAAGGCTAAGAAAATTGTTAAAGGAAATGTCTTTGATAAAAGATATGATGGAGTAATTACACAAAATATTGATGAAAAAGATCATATTGTTAAATATCATTCAAGAGTATGGAATAAAGCTCAATCTAATTATTCAATAAAAAAATAGTTTCTATTGTATTATGTGTCACAAAATTCGAAGATGATTTATTAAACTAAAATTTTATATTAAGATTTGATAGTAAGGCTGCTTAAAGTGTTTTACAAAAAAAAAAAAAAAAAATCAAAATCAAAATCAAAATCTTTGCCACAAAACAAATTTTTACTTGATGACAAAAATATCATTTAATTTTTTTTACTCTGACATTATTCACATCTCTAGAAATGAAAATTCAATTACTAACTTTATCACTCATGAATTTTTGCAAGGAAAATGCTGAAAAAACAATAACACGAAGAAAGAAGAAAAAGATAAAACTTGTTCCATCCCATTTGTCATTTCTCTAACCGAGTTCAAATCCTATACAACAATACCAATGTTCCACCTTAGGCCCAATTACCAACTACAACCAAATTTTATCCTAACAAAATCTCATTTTCTAAAATTAGAAAACAAATTTACAGCTATGGGGTAACTCCCATCTTCATCAACCAAACTAGATATTAAACAATAATAAATCCATCCACTCTATCAAAAGTTGAAACTTTCAAGCAAGTATTGAAAACTAAAGAGCCTCAAAACCCAAAATAAAAAATCAAAGTCGCTTGCCAAAGCTCACTGATACCAATAAAATTAGATATTGTGAAGTTAAGATTATCTTACATATTAGAGCCAACCACCTAATCAAGGGAGAGATTTGATGTTATAAAAGGATAAACAAATTATTAACAATGAATTTACATATTGGGATTATATAATGTCTTAGTTTTGTGCATTTCTTTTTTTTTTTTTTTAAATACAATTTATCTTTGTCTTATGTCTTTTATTTGATTGATGACTTCAAATATCCCACTCCATATTGGTTTCAACAATGGTGGACCGGTTATAGATTTGACAACTATTATTCTTCAAATTGTAATTGATGTAATAAAAAATTATTTAAAACCAAGGCAAAATTGCTAGATAAAGTTTCAAGTTCTCCATCTTGAATAAATATTTTCACATAATTTTCATGTACCATGGATCTTTATGCCATAATTCTCAATTGAAGAAATCCAAAAAGAAGAGTTCACTATTCCTATTTTTTAGAAGAAGATACAAAATTAAATGGTTAATGGTGGACCAAAATAGATATGGATAATTATGGAGTTCATACATTCAACAAGTTTTTAAAGAGTTTCTTCAAATGTACAAAGAGCAATCACCAAAACAAATTACCAAGACAAAAAAAAAAAAAAAAAAAAAAAAAATTGTCAAAAAGAAAAAA